TGGCCCTGCCCATCTCTCTTTTGGGCATCTGGAACAGTAAGTTATGGGCACTGGAGGGAACAGTCCCAGAGCTGGGCTGAAGAGGCCATTGAGAGCAGCCACCTGCTGAGCAGGGTGAGGAGTAGTTCACAGGCAAGGGGGAGGAGAAGGGCACAAGGGGGGCTGAGAAGCCTCCAGGCTGTGGCCACTGCAGAGCCGCCCTAGCGTCTGTGCCTGCTGTGCTGGATCACTGGGTTTCCCTGGGTTCCCAGGAGAAGGCTCTGTGTTCTTCTCCTATGCTTGCTATTTCACTTGGGCTGGTTTCAGTGGATTTCTGCTCTTTGCAATTAAAGGAACCCCAAGGCTGGGGGCAGTGGCGTATACCTATAATCCCAGCACTTTGGGAGGCCTAGACAGGCAGATCACTTGAGGCCAGGAGTTCAAGACCAGCCTGGCCAACATGGCGAAACTGCGTCTCTACTAAAAATACAAAAATTAGCCAGGCGTGGTGGTGGGCACCTGTAATCCCAGCTACTTGAGAGGCTGGGGCAGGAGAATCGCTTGAACCAGGGAGGCAGAGATTATAGTGAGCCGAGATTGTGCCACTGCACTCCACCCTGGAAGACAGAGCAGGACTCTGTCTCAAAATAAATAAATAAAAATATAAAAAAGCCCCAAGTTGAGAGCTTCCCTCCCTCCTAGGCTTTCTTCCTGTACTCAGCATGGTGGAGAGGACCCTACTCTGGGGTCCACTTCAGTTTTGAGATCTTCGAGCTTTCACCCCAACACGGCACATGTGCAGCATGCAGCAGGCACCTGGTAAGTAGCAACAGCGCCATGATGGGCAGGTGGTTTTGTAGCTGGTTTTGGTTCTTGGATCATAATGGCACTCTGCAGTGGGTTGGAGTCTCTCATCTGGAATCTCAAATATGACCTTATTTGGAAGTAGGATCTTTGCAGATGTAATTAGCTAAGATGAGGTCATCCTGGGTTAAGGTGAACCCCAAATCCAGTGACTGGTGTCCTGATAAGAAGAGGAAAGATAAGCAGAGACAGGGAGAAGGGCAGTGTGAAGATGGAAGCGGATACCGGAGGGTGGCAGCTGCAAGCCGAGGAGCACCAAGGATGCCAGCAGCCCCACAGCTGGAAGGTGCCAGGAACTGCCGTCCTGCACATGGAAACGACCCTGTTGCCCCTGTGAGTCTGGACTCTAGCCTCCTGAACTGTGAGGGAATAAACTTCTGTTGTAATCCACCAGTTTGTGGGGCTTTGTTATGGCACACATAGGAAACTAACTTAGGGCTTCAAATGTGTGTGTGAGTGGACCGATGAAATGCCTCTCCCTCGTGCTTGTTCCAAGAAGAAACTGGCTGCGGCTGTGGCCTGTGGGTTTCTTCTGGCCTCCTGGGAAGACACTGCACAACCTGACAGGAGAGGTAACCTTGGGAATTGGAAGCCATCGAGCGGCAGCTGTGGAACAGCCATGGGAAGAGGAATAAAGCAAAGCTGTTTCTGATGTAGATGGCTGCTGAACATCCAGACTCCTAGGAGATTTTAAAGCACTCCTCTTTGTAAATTAGAAAGCTGCTTTTGAAGTGTGAGCCATCCAGAAAGTGGCATCTCTGAGAACTGAGAGAGAAAGTGCTAGTGAGAGTCGAGCAGCAGAGGAAGGCTTCTCTTGCTCCAGGTGGCCATGGCTCCAGGACCTTGGCATTGCATTTGTGATAAAAATAAATGGTGTTCTCCGACCCTCGCACATGGCTCCCATCTAATCAGTTTACAAGTTTCAAATGCAGACTCACTGAACATCAGACAAGGCTCTGATATAGGGACTGTGCATTGGTCAGAGTTCTTCAGAGAAACAGAATCAATAGGGTGTGTGTGTATAGAGAGAGAGAGAGAGAGGAGAAAGAAGAGAGAGAGAGGAGAGAGAGAGAGAGAGAGAGAGAAAGAGAGAGAGAGAAAGAGAGAGGAGAGAAAGAGAGAGGAGAGAGATTGATTTAGTCTAAGGAATTGGCTCATGAGATTGCCGGTCCTGGGAAGTCTGACTCCTTCAGGACAGGCCATCAGGCTGGAGACCCAGGGAAGAAGTGAGGTTGTAACTGGAGCCTGAAGGCTGTCTGGAGGCAGAACTCCTTCCTCCTCAGGGCAATTTCTTCTTTTCTCCTAAGGCCTGAAACTGGCTAAGGCCCACCTACTTTATGGCAGGTTATCCACTTTCAGGTATACTGATTTAAACCTTAATCACATCTACAAAATACCTTCATAGATAGATCTTGGCTGGTGTTTGATCAGACATCTGGGCACCACAGCTGAGCCAAATTGACCCATAAAATTAATGATCATAGATTGTTACAAGTGTCTGTAGCGATGGAGCAAAATACTTTTCCCAGCATGGCCATTTCCTTGGAATTCTGAGCCCAGATGCCATTGAGCTGCAGGTGTGTTCACTGGAAATACCTGAGCAGTTTGTTTGTTTAGGTACCAGCAAGACTGTCTCTGGGAAGACTGTTTTAGAATGTTCAGGGGAATACAGGTAGCACACATGGGTAAAACCCTTCTTTCTGGGCTGGCTTTTTCCTAGGAGGACATAGGTGTGAGGTAATGTTTGGAATGGGCTTTACCCACCTACCAGTAAATTAACTCATGGGAGTTTTAATTAAAAGCTCATATGTGAATGAAAGTCTGGAAAGACTTAACAGTGGTTGCTAGTTAGTAGATGATTCTTTTTATTTTGGGTGTCTTTTTTTCTTTTGCATATCTATCTTTTCTGTTTTATCCCAATAAAATAAAGAGATTTCATAGGTAATAAATGTTCTCTATAAGAATAACTCTGAAGTTACTAGCATTGTGAAGATGTGAGGATCGCTCGGCTGTCACCAGCATGCTAAAGCAGAAAGCTGGGGTCTCAGGAGCCCAGTGAATGATAATGCCATTACTGTTACTCCTTTGGAGATGGGCTTTTGACCTCCAGTAAAATGGGTTCTTTTGGATGAAGCTGTTGGAAAGTGAAAATCCTTGGTACTTACAGAAACGATGGCTTGATATAAAATCATAGCGAAACTGCAACACTGTAATGCATGGTTGGTTTGATCCCTGAGAGCTGGGAGTTACACCTGTCAAATTGTGTTTCACCTCAATAATCTGCAGTGAGGTGAGGTATCCCTCGGCGGTCTGGGTGCTATATTGCAATATGCCGGATACTGGATTATCTGGGAAGTGCAATTTTGCTGCACACTCACAGCTCATTTGTAAGAAGCATCTTTGGGAGATCTGTGCATTCAACTCTTCCTAAAACTTTTTTCTTTCTCTCCTTATGAAGAAGACTGTTGGAGGATAAAACTTTGGAGAAATCTTTATAATGCTTGTCTCTAATCTCCATCCGGAGTCATAGAGAAATCCCTGACTTCTGTCAATCTTTGGCTGGAAACAAAGAGCCAGCAGCTGTACTGGTTGAGGTACACCAACCTCAATGATCCCTGACCTGCTTGTATGCAGCTTCCACTACAGATGTCTCTGGAATAGCCATCTGCTAGGAAAGGAACTCAGAAGAATTCTTTTCATTTATTTACTATTCCTTTCTATAAAGAGACAAGGTCTTACTCTGTCACCCAGGCTGGAGTATAGTGATGCAATCATGGTTCACTGCAGCCTTAACCTCCAGGGCTCAAGTGAGCCTCCTGCCTCAGCCTCCTAAGTAGGTTAGGACTACAAGCATGTACCACCATGCTTGGGTAATATTTTTTGTTATTGTTTTTGTAGAGATGGGATCTCATTATGTTGCCCAGGAAGTCTCAAACTCCTGGCCTGAAGCAATTCTCCCACCTTGGCCTCTCAAAGGGCTGGGATTATAGGTATGAGCCACCTTGCCCAGCCTGAAGGATTTTTTCAAAGAAGAGAATTTATAAGTAATGTTGGGAATTATATGAAAATCTCCCATGCTTTTATCTGATGCCACAAAGTGTCAGAGAAACAGATGCTAATGTGTGCTCACAGGTCTCCTGAAGATGCAGGATCACCTGCTTCCCAGCAAAACACTTTGGGATTTGAACCTTAGTTTAAGTGAGAGATTGGAGAGCTCCTGGAAGTGTCCTATTCAGAGAGGGCAGGAAACACTAAACTTGATCTACCTTTGAAGACACAAGGCTTGACTCTTGTCTCTACTGCCCGTTTGATTATGAAGGAAGCCACTCCTCCCAGCTCCCCCTCTGACAAAGGTGGTGCAGCCATTGGGTCCTGTTTGGGGTGAATCTCAGGGAGGGTGAGATGTGATTACTGTTAGGATGTTCAAAGGCATCTCTGGAGGGTCCCAGTGGGCTCCGCTTAAAACTGAATGGGCCACACAGATATTAGGAAATAACTCTAAGTCCCAGGCTGTCTGAGGGGAGAGCAACTATGTAACGAAGGGGCAAGTGGTCAGCTGACTCCTGGGGCCCCCACACCCCCATCCTTGGCAGACATCCCTCATTGGTTGTGACCCTCTGTCCTCTGCCCCACTGGGTCCACTGCAGTGAGTGCAGAGCCAGACTAGAACCAGGCCTCTTCCCTGCCCGTCTGGAGCTCTGCTGGCTGTCTTTCCCTCTCCCAGCAGGCCCTCTGCATCTGTGCCCTCTAGCATCTGTGACTTCCCTTTAGGACAATGTTGTGTAAACCTTTGAAGGACATACAGAAGACCTTTTTCCTGTGATCTTTTACCCTTTTCAGTCTTGGCTTTCTTATGTTGCTTTCATGAATGGAATGGAAAAAAGATGACTCAGTTGTATCTATCGAATGCTCACTTGCTGCTACGTGCTGGCTGTGCCCTCGATCACAGTGTAACTTCCGCTGCTCTACAGACCACATGGGTACTTGCAGAATGGGTGCACATGGGGTGGGGGCTGGGATGTCTATTCCTCCCTCATTATTCAGCAGATCATTAGTTCAGTCACTTGTCTGGATGCCTCATTTCCAATCACACCCACAAGAAATATGCATATATCTGCTCATACCCCAATATAGACTGTCAAGAATATACATATGGCTGGTGCCTTAACTCAGTCATCTTTTTTCCATTCCATTCATGAAAGCAACAAAAGAAAGCCAAGAGTGAAAAGGGTAAAAGAACACAGTAAAATGGTCTTCTGTGTGTCCTTCAAAGGTTTACACAACATTGTCCTAAAGGGAAGTCACAGCAGCTCAGCTGTTTCTCATAGATCAGAGAGGCTGGTGGGACAGCCAGGAGTCGTCAGTAAACCCAGGTGAGCGTGCAGGACTGAGTGCTGCTGTCCTCTTGCAGGTGGGAGTCCACGTGGAGGGGTGTTCCTTCTCATTTCTCACTGGGATGGTGACTGTGTACAGTGGAAAGCACAGAGCCAATGAGGGACAGGAGGGCCACAGAGGAGGCGTAAGAGTGCAGGGCTGCTCTGTCGCTCTGTCCTGTCTCCTGTTAGGGCTGCTGCGCCACCACAGGTTTCTGTGAAGTACAAACACACAGACACAGATGTGTAACAGACAGACGTGGGCATGCACAGAGAAACATACAAACACAGTGTACTCACGGATGTGCACATGGGTAGACACAAACTTAGATTATACCGATGTGCACACATGCACATGAGGCAGAAGAATAGGGTCTGGAGGCAGGGAACCTAAGACCAATTCGTGCTGACTTTGTAGAACTAAGTAAAAATGAAAACCCCATCTCTCCTGAGGAACAAAAGGTTCCGTGGCTACTCTCTTTGCAACTTGCCCCGCAAACTGCATCTCAGATGAAAATGCGACATACCTCTGATTGGTCCCTTCCTGCAACCAATCAGACTGGTCACTGGCCAAATCTTCATGTGTAACTTTGTAACTTCCTTTCATTCTCTAATTGGTTGCCTCCTGCGACCAATCACACTGGTCGGGGCCACCCCTTCATTTGCTTAGGGTGTAACCAAGTAGCCAATGGGAAACCTCTAGAGGCACTTAAACTCCAGAAAATGCTGAAAGCACTGGCTCTAGCCTGCTCACACTCTGTAGAGTGCAGTTTCGTGTCAATAAATCTGTGCTTTCATTGCAGTAACACACACACTTGGGTGTGTGTGCAGTTACATACACAGGGTGTGCACACAGACACAGGAGTGAATGCAGCCACAGGTATTCACACATGGACAAGTTGGTCAAACACTGTTTGCTTCTTCACAATATTAGCTTAACTCCTTCGGGGTTTTTTACTTAACTTCTCTGCCTCTGTTTCCTCAGCTATAAATTTGGGTCAATGACACAGGTGTGTCATCCAATGGGGTGTGTGGACAGCAAGTATTTGAAAATTTAAAGCTTTAAAACACAAGAAGATATTATTCTAATTTCAAAGTATTTGGGTTTTCAAGTCTTGTTGGCAAAGATTTCAGTTTACTTTTGGATTCTCAGGTCTGAATCCTTGTTTTGTGTGTCCCCATTTTCTTTGCTCCAAAGACTTAACATTAATACATAAATCTAACGGGTCACTGAATTCTAAGAACTCCTCAGAGAACGAGGGAAAACTTTACCGCGAAGGTGTGGCCGGCCATCCCTTTCCTCCCGTTGGGGTTCCTCTGTGTCAGGGAGCCTCGGTACACTGATTTCCGATCAAAAGAATCATCACCTTTGCCTTTGGGGAAAACAGGAAGAGGGGTGGTGCTTTATGAATCACATACTTAGCCCAGACAAGTGCCTTGGCCACCTCAAATTTAAAAGGTAGAATAAAAATAGACATATCTCCCTTTAAGAAGTTTCCACATTACGTATTTTTAAGGAAGCATTTACATTTCAACTGTCCTGCAGACAGTTAGCCAACTTCTTTCTCCTTTGCTTTGGAGCAGGCATTAATGTTCTATCTCACCGTGGCCCTAGAAATCCTCACACGAATGAAACAGCAGAAAGGCCTGTCAGGCTGCGCTGGTGTGCGGTCTCTGCATCTCCTTGCCTCGCTTTTCTTTTCCTTCTTTCTTTCCTTTTTTTCTTTTTCTGAGATGGAGTCTCGCTTTGTTGCCCAGGCTGGAGTGCAGTGACACGATCTTGGCTCACTGCAACCTTCCTCTCCTGGGTTCAAGTGATTCTCCTGCCACAGCCTCCCGAGTAGCTGAAACTACAGGTGTGCACTACTGGGCCTGGCTAATTTTTGTATTTTTTAGTAGAGATGGGGTTTCACCATGTTGGCCAGGCTGGTCTCGAACTCCTGATCTCAAGGGATCCATCCACCTCCCAAAGTGCTAGGATTACAGGTCTAAGCCATGCCTGGCTTCCTTGCCTTTCCTTAAGTTTGTAATAGGGCAACAGCCCAAGGGGTCTCAGACTCTGACCCTCAGTACAGAGGCCTCTCCTGGGCCTGTGGCTGTGTAGCTGGGGGCTATACAGAGGCCCGAGAACTGGCGGTGTTGGGGGCTGGCCTCTGTAGATGGGGAGAAGCCCCCATGGCCACCCTTGGCGGAGGCTGGTGATGATGACGGGGGGACATATGAAGGGTCAGGCCTCAGCTGTGCTGTTCAGACCCTGAAATGCCTGTGAGCTTCCGGGGGCTGGGGGGAGCTATTCTGGCCTTGGACTGAATGTGAGTGGTCTCTGGATAGGACAGAGTCTACGCTTCGCAAAACCAGTCATACGGAGGATGCAAGGAATTGCCCATTGTCCTGCTGTAATCATGAATCTCCTGGCTGGGCGCGGTGGCTCATGCCTGTAATCCCAGCACTTTGGAAGGCGGGTGGATCAGCTGTCAGGAGTTTGAGACCAGTCTGGACAACATGTTGAAACTCTGTCTCTACTAAAAATACAAAAATTAGCTGGGCATGATGGTGGCACCTCTAATCCCAGCTACTCCAGAGGCTGAGGTGGGAATATCACTTGAACCTGGGAGATGGAGGTTACAGCAAGCCGAGATTGCACCACTGCACTCCAGCCTGGGCGACAGAGTGAGACCCTGTCTCAAAATCAAACCAATCCAATCCAAACCAAACCAGAAACTCTACTTGGATTTCAGCCTATGAGATGTGCTGGAAACCCCTCACAGCCAGCATGTAGCTCTCTGGGAGCCCCTGTCGGCAGCTCCTCAGTGGGTCATCTCTGGCAAAGTCACCCTCCTGGATGGTGACCCTGAATCTGGGATTAGCCCCAAAGGGCCTTGGGCAGCAGCTCTGTCCCAGGATTGACCTGAATGTATGCTGGAGGCTCAGGGGGTGCAAAGAGCGAGCTGGAACAGAGGTGGGGTGGCTGACGGACTGAGAAGTGAGTGGGCTGGAAACAGGGATCGAGGTGCTGGGTATTGTAGGGAGGCGTGGAGAGCCCTGGGGCAAGGCTTCATGCTTGGCCCTGAGGACTTCACAAGACAGAGATGGGCATGGAGGGCGAACCCAGGCATGGAGGGGTGAACCCCGGCATGGAGGGCAAACCTGGGCATGGAGGGGTGAACCCAGGCATAGAGGGTGAACCCGGGCATAGAGGGCGAACCCGGGCATGGAGGGGCGAACCTGGGCATGGAGGGTGAACCTGTGCATGAGGGGCAAACGCTGGCATGGAGGGGCAAACCCAGGCACGGAGGGGCAAACTCAGGCATGGAGGGCGTATCCGGGCATGGAGGGGCAAACCCGGGCATGGAGGGGCGAACCTGGGCATGGAGGGGCGAACCTGGGCATGGAGGGGCAAACCCGGGCATGGAGGGGCGAACCTGGGCATGGAGGGTGAACCTGTGCATGAGGGGCAAACGCTGGCATGGAGGGGCAAACCCAGGCACGGAGGGGCAAACTCAGGCATGGAGGGCGTATCCGGGCATGGAGGGGCAAACCCGGGCATGGAGGGGCGAACCTGGGCATGGAGGGGCAAACCCGGGCATGGAGGGGCGAACCTGGGCATGGAGGGTGAACCTGTGCATGAGGGGCAAACGCTGGCATGGAGGGGCAAACCCAGGCACGGAGGGGCAAACTCAGGCATGGAGGGCGTATCCGGGCATGGAGGGGCAAACCCGGGCATGGAGGGGCGAACCTGGGCATGGAGGGGCGAATCTGGGCATGGAGGGGCAAACCCAGGCACGGAGGGGCAAACTCAGGCATGGAGGGCGGATCCGGGCATGGAGGGGCAAACCCGGGCATGGAGGGGCGAACCTGGGCACGGAGGCACGAGCTCGTGTGGCATGCTCTGAAACCAGCATCCACCATGTTGTCCCAGGCACGGGAAGGAAGTGCATCCTTGGGTGGGTGTAGTAGGGGGCAGGCTGGTTCCAGTGTGTAACAAATGGCCAAAGTCTGCGGGCTTTGCTAAGAAATTCCACTTCATTCTGCAGGCAGTTGAGAGCCAAGGATTGTTTGTGCGTAGAGGAGGGACACACACTATCTGCTAGGACCACAGCTGGAGCAGTTTGAATGACAGCGTGTGTGAGGACAAAGCTCAGAAAACAGGGACAACAGGAGATCAATCCAACAATTGCCTGGGGGCCTGAAACGGCTCCGCAGCAGCGGGCTGGACTCTGAATGCGGAGAGGAGGTGCCAGCCTCTGGTGAGCAGTGGTCGGGCCACAAGGTGAGTGAATGAAATGAGCACACAGATACCCAAAAAGCCCGGCCACGTGTGGAGGAAGCCTCACATCCCATTCGTCCAGGACAAAGCTAATGTCCTTGTCACTACCACGCCTTCAAGGAAGGCTAAATGATGTCCCCAACTTTCTGTAAGAAGGCCAAAAACTGTGTACCACATCTGGACAATTTATGTAGAAAGACACAGAAACACCACTGCCATCACTGCTGCCACCAGGGCCAACTTTGCACGCTTAAAGCAGCAAGTTCTGGTTGTCTGGATCACAACTTAGCACAGCCTGCAGACTTCGGCCATTGGTTACACACGGGGTCCTAAGGGTGGCCCGAGTGGCACTGGGAATGCTTTTTGGGAGTCAGGACATGAGATATGTCCCACAGGTTATGAAGGACACACACAGAGCTGCGACTGGCCATTTCCCTCCCTGGAGCTCATTTCCCAGGCCCATGGGGCTGTGGAGAGGAGAGGGCTCTTACCTTGACTTCTCAGGGAATTACTGAACTTTCTTCTTAGAAGATAGGGCACAGCTGTCGCCTAGAAGAAACAGAGTGCTCCAGGCTTTACGAAGCAGTGATGCTTGGGAATTGTGAACTAATTTTGGATTTCTTACTGTTGTTCCAGCTTCTAATTAACCGGGCCCAGGGACTTCTGCTATCTAGCAAGATTTGAACTTTTAGCAACATAAGAATGAACATTTTCAAGAAACTAAGTACTAAATGCCTGAAGTAAGAGATGCTCAGCTTTAGGGGAGCTGCCACATTGGGATGGCGTGGCAGAAAGAGTACGGGTTTCTGCCCTGCAGATCTGGGTTCAAATCCCAGCACTACCCCCTTACCACTGTGTGACACAGACAATTAATTCACTTCTCTCTGAACCTCAGTCTCCTCCTCTGTAAAATGGGTCTGTAGCTTCTGTCTTTTTTCCAGTTGATTACCTTGCTACAGTGTGATAAGAAATCTGTTCTCTGTTTGGCTTTTCAGGGAAGTGAAGAGAGAGCCAAATGGCCCAATTCCCCTAGAAATTTCTCCTGGTATCTGGCAGCCTGGGATTTTGCCTCCCTGGGTTTGTAGGCTGCTCCTAGAGGCAGCTGCAGAAGTTGTCAGGCTGGGCTTCTGGGGACAAAGGTGGAAGTGGCAGCGCCCAGGGAACAGCATGTGTGTCAGGCCTGGCGTGGGCGAGACCCTGCTGTCACTTCCTGTCTGTGATCTTGATCAACCTCACCCACTCCGCTGAGCCGGCTGGTTTGCTGTCAGTACAACAGGGTTAATCGCACTGCCTACCTGCCAGGTGCTGTAAACATCACGGAGAAACATACACTTTTAAAAACACTGCGTGTCACTGTGAGGAGCTGCCAGGGCTGTGATGAGGCTCCGTATGGGGCTGGGCTGCAGGTGGGGCTTGAAGCTGAAGCCCACTCCTCCTGGGGCGCTGGCCACGGTACCCCTCATCTTACTCCTAACCACCCCACCTAAATGCAGGGCGCTTCTCCCTCCCAGGCTGGCTCTGCCCTCTGTGCACTGCGTCTGTCGGTCCTGCCCACAGCCCCCAACTCCCTGTGCCATTTTCGTGCACACTGACTGGCTCCTGGGTATTTTCACCTGTGGCAGCCAGTGCTTAAGTCTCCCAGATGGAGGAAGTCCCCAGGCCACCGGCCCGCTGTGCCTGTTCAGGGAAGGACGGAAGTGCCTGGGAATGTATGTGGCCCAGGGCCTTGCTCTTACTCAGGACTGACGGGTGTGGAAGGGCTAAGTGCCTGTGACCTCACTCCTGAGTGGAGTAACTCTGGGGTGTAACCTACGTGGTCTCCAGAGCCCCCAGGAGGACTGAGCCACAGTCAGCTTGTGTGGGTTTGCTTCACGTCAGCTGCTGGCCTCTCCAGTCTTTCCCGTCTCTTTCCCACCCTGCTGGCCTCTCCAGACCTTCCCGTCTCACTCTCCCACTCCTGCGTCAGCAGCTGGCCTCTCCAGTCCTTCCCGTTTCACTTTCCCACCCCCACGTCAGCTGCTGGCCTCCTTCCCTTCCCGTCTCACTCTCCCACCCCCGCGTCAGCAGCTGGCCTCTCCTGTCCTACTTTCCCACCCCCGCGTCAGCTGCTGGCCTCTCCAGTCCTTCCCGTCTCACTTTCCCACCCCCACGTCAGCTGCTGGCCTCCTTCCCTTCCCGTCTCACTCTCCCACCAGCATCTCACTCTCCCACCCCCATCTCACTCTCCCACCCCTGTCTCACTCTCCCACCCCAGCATCAGAGGCTGGCCTCCTTCCCTTCCCGTCTCACTTTCCCACCCCCACTTCAGCTGCAGGCCTTTCCAGTCCTTCCCGTCTCACTCTCCCACCCCCGCATCAGCAGCTGGCCTCTCCCGTCCTTCCCGTCTCACTCTCCCACCCCAGCATCGGCTGCTGGCCTCCTTCCCTTCCCGTCTCACTCTCCCACCCCTGCGTCAGCTCCTGGCCTTTCCAGTCCTTCCCGTCTCACTTTCCCACTCCCACATCAGCTGCTGGCCTCCTTCCCTTCCCGTCTCACTCTCCCACCCCAGCATCGGCTGCTGGCCTCCTTCCCTTCCCGTCTCACTCTCCCACCCCGTCTCACTTTCCCACCCCCGTCTCACTCTCCCACCCCCACGTCAGCCGTTGGCCTCCTTCCCTTCCCGTCTCACTTTCCCACCCCCGCTACTGGGCTGTCTTGGATTTTCAACAAATGCATCAACACAAACCGGGCTCAGTGTGTGCCCCAGAGGAAGCCAACCCATGGCAGTTGCCACGGCCTTGTGTCATTTGTGAGGGCGTGGCAGCTGTGTGGGCAGCTGTGCGGACGTTGCAGCTCCGCCACCCCGTGGACTTGCCACACTGCTGGAAAGGGGTGTGGTCTCCCACCTTCGTCCGGTGTCTGGGGCTTGGAGGGAGTAACACTTACTTACCTTGGCCTCATTCGAAGGGTCTCCATTTGGATCCTCTGGTCTCTTTCCAACTTTCCCAGCCACTCGAGGAAGAAATATCTGGAGGACACAGAAGAGGCTTTGCAGCGCAGTCACGGGTCAGCTGGATGTAAGCATGGATCTATACACCAGTGGTCGGGGACGCTTGGGGTGCAGCGACACCCCCAGTATGCCACTCCAGGGCTCTGGGGCTAGCGCTGCCAGAGTGTGCAAACTAAAATACAGGATGCCCAGGGAACTTTGAATTTCAGATTGTGAAAAGAAAGTAAACCTTGGGACCCAAAAATCACTAAGCTAAAGGTGAAAGTCAGCTGGGAACCGTTTAGGGCAAACCTGCCTCTCGTTCCATTCAAAGCCATCGCTCTGAGGCTCACCTGCATATCCGACTGCTTCCTCTGCCTATTCTTAGGTAAAAATGTGGTTTCACTGAGCCAGACTAAATTGTGTATTCAGTGGGAGTCTCATCAAGAACTCAAAAGAATGCAACCTTTGTCTCTTACCTACTTCTAGCCAGGAAGCCCTCACTTAGAGTTGTCCCGCCTTACTGGACGGAACCAGTGGACGTGTTACACACATCGATTGACGTCTCACATCCCCCTAACATGTATAAAAGCAAACTGTACCCCCAACCACCTCGGGCACAAGTCTCAGGAGGTCCTGAGGCTGTTTCATGCGTGTGTCCTTAACCTTGGCAAAATAAACTTTCTAAGCTGACTGAGACCTGTCTCAGATATTTGCATGCACAAGATCAACTGCTAATTTTTTTTTTCGTGTAAGTTCCGGATGTTGCATGGGATATACTTACACTGCAATATTAGTTGTTGATCTGAAATTTCAGTTTAGCTGGGCAGCCTGTGTTTTCCCCAGGGACCCTATCTGGGACTGTCCTAAGGACATCTTTCATTCTTTTGCCAACTTTCCTCATCAGGGTGGTTTTGTCTGAAGATTCCTGAATGGGATGAGGAGACGCTCAGCCCTCCTGGGGGCTCTGGAGACACGTGGGTCACACCCGAAGTTATTCCACTCAGGAGCGATGTCAGCCTGGCATGAGCTGCTCCTCTGATGTGAGCCTCCATGTCTGTCTTAACATGGCGGCGTACTAAGGATTTCAACATGAGGCATTGTGACCAGGCGTCTCCTTTTGGATTTTACACTGTGAATGTGTGTGTGTTTCAGGTCCTCAGAGTAGAGGCTCAGAGTCCCCTCATATGATAGAAACAACAACAAATAGTAAACAAAAATGAACCCCAACAAGGGCACAGCTGACTAACTGGCTCTGAGGAAACTCAGGCTGGACGTTCACTGGATGGGAGGTAAGGGGCCCGGGATCCTCGCTGTCCGGCCCATGGTGGCAGGCGTGCTGTGGGGAGGCCTCGGGGGGCACCAACTTACCTGGGATGCTATGTCCCCTCGCACTTACCACTCTACCCCCACTCACCACTTCACCCCCACTCACCACTGCACCCCCACTTACCACTGTGCCTCAGCTCACCACTGTAACCCCACTCACTGCACCCCCACTCACCTCTGCAGCCCCCAATCACCACTGCACCCCCCACTCACCACTGCACCCCCACTTACCACTGTGCCCACTCACTGTGCCCCCGCTCACCACTGTGCCCCCACTCACCACTACACCCCCCACTCACCACTGTGCCTCAGCTCACCACTGTAACCCCACTCACTGCACCCCCACTCACCTCTGCAGCCCCCAATCACCACTGCACCCCCCCACTGACCACTGCACCCCCAACTGACCACTACACCCCCAACTGACCACTACACCCTCACTCACCACTGCACCCCCCACTGACCACTGCGCCCCCAACTGACCACTGCACCCCCAACTGACCACTACACCCTCACTCACCACTGCACCCTCCACTGACCACTGTACCCCCACTCACCACTGCACCCCCACTCACCACTATGCCCCCCTCACCACTGCACCTCCACTCACTGTACCCCCACTCACTGTGCCCCCGATCACCACTGCGCCCCTGCTCAACACTGTGCCCCCCCACTCACCATTGTGCCCCCACTCACCGGGAGGTTTGACCTCCTCCGGGGCTTTCCCGAGGGCTTCACTGTGAGCCCCGCAGCCCTCAGGGCTGCAATCCTGGATTCGATGTCTGAAACCTGGAGAGGACAGTAGACAGGCGGCCCATCAGACAGACGCTCGAGGTCCCACCTCAAAGTCATGGACAGAAAGAGCAGCTGCCCCCAGCTCACTCCTGGAGCCAATTTTACTTGTGTTTTCCCTCAAGATTGGCGTCCCAGCCCCATGCCCATCTTGGTGGTCCCCTTGGCATTTATCTTCCATGGTTATTGAGAAGGGGGGTACCTTTCTTGTGTGCCACCCCAGGCAGGAGGGGGTGCATTTTCTGGAGTCATAGGGAGTCTGGTTCTCATAAAGAGCTGGAGGAGGGGCCATGACTGGGGAGGACGGTGGTGGCTACTCTTCACCTAGCACTCAGCCACCCCTACTGACATCATCCTTGCCCAGCTCCCCTTCCGCTCCTTGCCCCTGAGGCCACCCCTCCCACAGCAGCCAGGGGCAGCTTCTGGAAACAGAAACCAGGCCCCATCACCCTACTCAGATCCTTCCAGCCCATCCTCCTCACAGTCTCCCTCTCATCACTCTGACCCAGTCTCAGGGTTTCATGACTGATCCCTGCGCGTGCCAAATTCACTGCCACCCCAGGGCCCTGGCACACGCTGCTCCCTCCACCCAGGCTCCTGCCTCCTGGATTTGCCGGGCTGGTTCATTTCCCTGGCATCCCTCCTGACCACCTTATCTGAATCGCCCTGCCCCGAGCGCCCTAGGGGTACCTTTACTGATGGTCTTCATGCACTTTACGAGAACCCAAAGGATCTGGTTTGCTATTTACCTCCTCCTACTAAAAACAGAAGCTTCAGGAAGGCGGGGGCTTGGTCTAAGGCATTTGTAGCTGTATCTTCCGTGACCTACACAACGTGGCTGCATTTCAGGCATTTGAAGCTGATTTGCAGAGCGAGGAGGAAGAAATGAAGGGAAAGTCCAGAGCCCGAGCGAGAAGGAAGAAACAAGGGGAGTCCAGAGCCCGAGCGAGAAGGAAGAAATGAGGGGATTCCGGAGCTTGACTTGCCCCCTCAACGGGAACAGCCCTGGGGGATGTGCCCTTCTTCCTCAGGGGGTGACAGGTGCCTGCTCATGAGAAGGGAAGCGGAGGAGGGCCAGGGGGCTGGCTGTCCCCACAGTCTGAGGGGCAGACCCTCTCCTCTCTGTAGGTCTCTGGGGAGGACAGAGCATGCACAAGTCACATCGGCTGTCCCTGGGAGGCCTCAATGTGTTGGCTTTGCCCTTTGACCTTTGTGCACGACTGATATGTTCCTCACCCAGATGCAAGCTCTGCAGCCACACTGGGACTCACAGATGGCCCTGGGGACAGAGTCCAGTCCTGAGTCTGGGGCTGCCCTAAATTCCAGGCCTGCTTACAGGTCAGGGATTGTGAGTGGTCAGTACTTTTTTCTTGGTAGTAACCCTGCCTGTCCCTCACCAAGTTGGAAAAAGGGAAGGGGTGGAGGGCTCAGGGGGTGGCAAGCCAGGTGAGCCCCACAGGAACCTCAGGTGCATGCTCGGCCTTCAGAGGCGTGCATCCTGGGCCAGTGGGGAGGGCTTGGTGTGAGCTGTCAGTCAGACGGTCAACACCCAGCCACGGTCACCATCTGTGTTTGTGGAACCCTGCACGTGCTCCCCTGTGCCTTCGGGGCTACCTCGCTCTCTGCCTGCTGGACTTCTGAGACTGTCACTGCCACTCTGTCCTCCAGCTCCGACAGCGCCTCATCTGTGGTCCTGTTGTGCTGGACGGGGTCCTCAGGGCCCTGGCGGCTCTTTTCCTGTCTGTTGGTTTGATGGGCAGCTGTGCCCACCTAGGAAAGAGAAGGATGGAGGCTGACCAGCTCCAGGAGGGAGTGTGGGTCTCACCCAGACGGGGACTTGCCCTGACATTTCTCTCCTCTCTGAACCCTGGGAACTGGTCGGCCAGGAGCTGGCCACCCACCATGGACCCCCTCAAGGGCTCTTGGTGTCCCCATGCAGTGGCTGCCTCTCTGGGGAGGGTGGTGGCTACCTGGAACTGTCCTTTCTTGCCCCCCTGCAGGGTCCTGCTGAGACCCCTGGGGGTGGTCTTACCTCTGAGTCTGCATGGGGGAGGGTCCCAACTGAGGTGCCCCTGTCGGGCTCTGCCTTTTCGTCCTTGGTCTCCTCTTCCTCAGACGAGGGCCCCTCATCACTGACGTTGCTGGTCAGCTCCTCCAGCTTCCTCCTCAGGGTCTCCTCCTCCACATCAGCCTCCGTGTGCACTCCAGCACCTACACCCTGACAGAACAAGCCAGTGAGTTTGTATTCGGCTCATCATCTGGAGCCGTGGAGCTCAAGGGTTGGCTCTGGGAGGTGGGCCTGGGCCCAGCACCCCTGGGGTTCCTGCTGAGCTCGGGCTGCCTCCCTTCTCCATGCAAGCTTGTCCACTGTGCCCCTCTGGGGCCCAGTCCCAGACTCCAGAAGCAGACTCTGCAGGACGGGGCTTCCTAGGGAAAGATGCCCACCACCTCTAGCTAAGATCCTCTCATCCCTTACATCTAAGGGTGCCTCTTGTGTATTCCAGGTGGATGTCCTTACTCTGTGGATGGGGAGAGGGGCATGGAGTCATGTCCTTACTCTATGGATGGGGAGAGGATTGTGGAGTCATGTCCTTACTCTATGGATGGGGAGAGGGGCATGGAGTCATGGTTCTTTGCCCACTGTCTCTCAGGGAAATGCACAGCTGGCTTTGGATGGTCCAGTACCAGGAGCTGTACCTTCCCACAGTCTGGCCAAGGACTGACTTAGCAGCTGCTGCTGGTCAGTTCTCTGTGTCACATGGCTCCCAATCACATAAAAGCAGCGCTGGGCTGTGAGTGAGAAAGGGTCTCCTTCCACTGGCCGCCTTGTCTGTGTGCGGGAGGAAGGGAGGCTAAGGGTAGGCTTTGTCTGTTGTGGACGCCAGCCTTTCAGGAAGGGTTTGATGTGCCAGCTCTGAGAGGGCAACAGAATTAAGTGATAAAAACACAAAATCATCCCAATTGCCTCTTACAGCCATAACAGTGCTAAGGCGTCTCGCTCTTTTTGGTGGAGGCAGCTCAACTCTTTAAAGCTCAGGCCAAGAGCCTTGCAGACATCCTGACTCGCCTTTTCCTCTCATCCCAAAGAGCCATTCCTGTGGGCTCTGCCTTTGCGAGGCTCCCCGGACATGCCTGTCTCATTTCACTTTGTTACTCTACCCGGTCCTACCACCACCTTCTCCCAGCCGGCCCTGCTGCCTCACTCCCACTCCACAGCCTGTTCTCAGGACAGCCAGAGCAACCCCGTGCCCTCAGCCAGCTGTCTTCTGCTCAAGCCTCCCCAACTCCATAGTAAAGGCAGAGCCTGGGAGGCTCCATCTTGTCTGACGCCGGCACGAGGCCCAGCTCCGGCCTCTCTGCTCCCAGGCCTGCCTCTGTCTCACCCATCCTGGCCATGCTGTCTCCTGCAGGTGCTCCCTCCTTGGGACTGTAGAAGGGCTGCCACACTCCATCCTAGACAGCCACACGGCAGTTCTGGCACCTCTGCCAGCTCTTCGGGCAAATCTCACGCTCAGTGGGGGCATCTCATTTGAAATGGCAGCCTCGCCCCAGGGACCTTCTGCCTCGATTGATTCTTCTCTACCTTCCTCCACCTCCTGACCTGTGTTCCAATTGTTGGGTTGTGAAGGAAACCAAAATATGCCACCCCAGAATGGACTTCTGGGACATATTTCCGGGTGTTTATTCAGAGAAGCTGCAGACAGGATTGCCTTGAAAAGCTGTCTTTTTTGGTGGTGGTGGGGATTTCATCTGTGGAGGAAAGCTACAGGGGTGAGCTGAGCACCAGGCAGATGGGCTTTCTCTGTACCTTAAAAGGACACTGATGCCTGACACTTACAGGTGCGACAGGGACGCTGACAGTATGGGCTGCTGCCGGTTCTTACACGTGTGACAGGGACGCTGACAGTACGGGCTGCTGCCGGTTCTTACACGTGCGACAGGGACGCTGACAGTACGGGCTGCTGCCTGACACTTACACGTGTGACAGGGACGCTGACAGTACGGGCTGCTGCCTGACACTTACACGTGCGACAGGGACGCTGACAGTATGGGCTGCTGCCAGTTCTTACACGTGTGACAGGGACGCTGACAGTATGGGCTGCTGCCGGTTCTTACACGTGCGACAGGGACGCTGACAGTACGGGCTGCTGCCTGACACTTACACGTGTGACAGGGACGCTGACAGTACGGGCTGCTGCCGGTTCTTACACGTGTGACAGGGACGCTGACAGTACGGGCTGCTGCCTGACACTTACACGTGCGACAGGGACGCTGCCAGTACGGGCTGCTGCCTGACACTTACACGTGCGACAGGGACGCTGACAGTATGGGCTGCTGCCTGACACTTACACGTGCGACAGGGACGCTGACAGTACGGGCTGCTGCCGGTTCTTACACGTGTGACAGGGACGCTGACAGTACGGGCTGCTGCCTGACACTTACACGTGTGACAGGGACGCTGACAGTATGGGCTGCTGCCTGACACTTACACGTGTGACAGGGACGCTGACAGTACGGGCTGCTGCCTGACACTTACACGTGTGACAGGGACGCTGACAGTATGGGCTGCTGCCGGTTCTTACACGTGTGACAGGGACGCTGACAGTATGGGCTGCTGCCTGACACTTACACGTGTGACAGGGACGCTGACAGTACGGGCTGCTGCCTGACACTTACACGTGTGACAGGGACGCTGACAGTACGGGCTGCTGTCTGACACTTACACGTGTGACAGGGACGCTGACAGTACGGGCTGCTGCCTGACACTTACACGTGCGACAGGGACGCTGACAGTACGGGCTGCTGCCTGACACTTACACGTGTGACAGGGACGCTGACAGTACGGGCTGCTGCCGGTTCTTACACGTGTGACAGGGACGCTGACAGTACGGGCTGCTGCCTGACACTTACACGTGTGACAGGGATGCTGACAGTACGGGCTGCTGCCTGACACTTACACGTGTGACAGGGACGCTGACAGTACGGGCTGCTGCCAGTTCTTACACGTGTGACAGGGATGCTGACAGTATGGGCTGCTGCCTGACACACGTGTGACAGGGACGCTGACAGTACGGGCTGCTGCCGGTTCTTACACGTGTGACAGGGACGCTGACAGTACGGGCTGCTGCCTGACACTTACACGTGTGACAGGGATGCTGACAGTACGGGCTGCTGCCTGACACTTACACGTGTGACAGGGACGCTGACAGTACGGGCTGCTGCCTGACACACGTGTGACAGGGACGCTGACAGTATGGGCTGCTGCCTGACACTTACACGTGTGACAGGGACACTGACAGTACGGGCTGCTGCCGGTTCTTCAAGGGCAGCTCCAGGTTACTCCAGCGATTTTTAACTGCATAAGCAGAGGCCCTTCCTCTCCTCGCCCTCCCGTGACCCTGTCCCCACTGTAACCCCTCAGGAAGCCCCAAGCCCCGTCCATCCTGACGCCGTGGGTGTAAACCTCAGTCATCTGTCCCTGCTCTGAGCCCTGCCTTTGCAGGACTGCCATGTTCATGTGCACAGTAACACACGGTCGGCCTTTTCCCTGGGACCCTGTCTATGATGAGTTCCCTTCAGCAGATGCGGGCCCCCCTCCCGAGGGAAAGCTGGACATTCCTGCAGATGAGTGTTTCCTGCCTCCCGAGTGGAAGGCAAACCCCACAAGGCCTGCGTTCTTGTTGACTTTGCTCACGGCCACCTTCCCAGCATCAGGAGCCGGTGCCGGGGGCAGAGTGGCTCCCTGTGTCTCCCGACTCTTCCCAGGTGATGAAGGCACACAATTAGCATCATGGGCAGGAAGACAGGGCTCATTCCCTTGTCTGCTCGTTCACCTGTTCATTCACTCATCCATCCCACAATCTGAAGGCTTTGCCCTGGTCCCATGAAGTCAACTTTGAAGTGTGAGGCCAGGGCCTCGAGGAGATGCCACCTGAGGAGTTTTAGTGCCACCTTTTGTCCCTTCCTCTGGGAGATGCCCCCTCCACTGACACTGGGGGCTGGGAGGGAGAGAGGGAGGGCAGGTGCCTCCAGGCCACGGCGCCCCCAGGCGGCATCGATCCCTCCCTCACCCGCCAAGCTGAGGATATTGCACACGATCATTTAATTTTCTATTTGGATGAAACCTATTGAGACAGATCGACAGGTCTTGCTGCCTGGGGCCTCACAGACAAACACCAAGGGGATGATTAGATTGAGTCAATGAAGAAGCTGCATGCTTCAGCCAGGATGCTTCTCCATGAGGCTCCACTTTCCTGACAAGGTCACAGAGGCCCTCAGTGGAAAGATCGGCAGTGACATTCAGCCTGTAAATGCTATTGGGCCTGATAGGAGCTGAACTTTGTCCCAGAGTGCATGGGGCTGAGAAACTGCAGAATCCCCACGAGGAATGGAAGCCCAGGGTCTGTCAGGCAGGACGCATCAGAGTGACAGGGTGAGGGGGTGGGAGCTGGGGGATGCCTGGGAGAGGCAGGGATTGTCTTTGCTTTGTAAGCCTGTAAATTGACACACATACCACATGCACACATATACACATGTGCATATGGAAAACACATGACAACATGTGTGTGTGACAAGGACAAGGACTTGAACCAGCATGACAGGACATAGCCAGGGCAACTAACCTGTCCTTGTTTGCCAGGGATTTCCAGGTGCAAGTCTTACGAGCCCCAGCCAGGACGCTGGCCGCCCCAGATCCAGCCTCGCAAGGTGGAGGGCCTGCTGCCACTCAGGCCCAGCTCCTTGACGGCCCAGAGAGGCATGCCTGCAAGCGGCGTCCCCTCATGGGGAGTGTGCGGGCAGCGCAGGTCACATGTGGAGTCTGTGACTTCTGACTTACTTGTCCCTGGGCTGAGATTTGTATGAGCAAAAGGCCAAAGCCAGGAGGCACCAGCAAGAGCCAGAGCGAGGGTGGCCACCCTTTCCCTCCACAAGGGTAATCTGGTTCTGGGTGGCTGCAGCCAGGGCCAGGCAGGCCGCAGGGCAGTGGGTCCCGGGTGCTGCTGAGGGACCAGCAGGGAGGGGAAGGAGTTGGGCAGGAAGGGGGTGAAGGAGGTGAGTGACAGATCTCCAGTATCCACCTGAGAGGCAGAGCCGGGGCCCGAGTGGGACCTGGGGCAGTGTTCAGCAGAGTCCTGGGGGTGGTCTGGGGGCTGGATGGGTGGATGTGGGCAATGGGGTCCAATGGGGTTCTGGAGCTTGTGTTGGGGCCACTCTGACTCCAGTGCAGGTGAGGGTCCTTCCAGAGGCACCCCGAGGGGAGGAATGCTCTTCCCAACCTCCCCTTGCTTTCAGCCAGCCAGGGATGGGCTGAGTCTCACTCCTGAGAGCCTGGGCCTCAGTTTCCTCATCTATAAACTAGGGACAGACATGTCTACTTTGCAGAGGTATTGCAGGATTAAACGAAATTATGGCACATGGTCAGCCTGGCCCTGGCGACCCATTAAGGCTTACGGCACAGCACTCCATCCCCCTGTAGATAAAGGCAGCTGCGGTCCCTGCTGGACACAGGGCATGTGGGCTGGGCCTCCATCTCCCTCCACTTTGGCCAGGGTCAGAGTCTGTGCAGAGGTAGCCTCTGCAGCGTAACTTGGGGCCTGTGTGCTCTGCTCCCCACTTGGTCTCATTCCCCCAGCCTGAGCTCCACCCTGATCTGCTTCTCTGCAGTCTTGGCCCCAAGAAAAATGAGCAGCTGCAAGGAGCGTCCTGTGGAGTTAAGTCATTCACACCTAACAGCTGCTGGAACTTTAAATCGCCGGCAGCCCTGAGAGCAGCTCTGTGGCCTGAATCAAGCAGCATGCAGCTTCAGTTTCTGCTTTTTCCCGTAGACGATTAGGAAAGACTGAGAGACGCCAGAGATGAGACCCCCTCGAGATCATTACCCCTACCCATGGAGTGTTCAAGCTGTCTTCCTCAGAATTAGTAAACTGCAACCTACAAACTGCTACAATAGAATTACAGGCTTTGTATGAAAAATGCTGTAACACTGAGAAACTTCTGGTTCTGCCCATGTAAATGAAACTTTAAATTCTCGACTTTGGAGCACTGACCCCATTCCTTTGGAGTCTGTGTGGCCCAGAAGGCTACCCTCAAACTTTGTGCTCCAATGAACTCAATACTTAATCATATTTTCTGAATCTCCTTATCTCAGTGTCCAGGTGCTAGATGTGTGGCTGTAACTCAGCTGGAATGGAGGACTGGGCCCCCGCTCCATCTGCACTCCCAGCTGTCTATCTGCCTGTCTCTCAGACACAAAAGCACATACACACACATGCATGCACACTCTTGCAGCAGGCCGTGGATTTTTTTTTTTTTTTTTGAGACAGAGTTTCGCTCTTGTTACCCAGGCTGGAGTGCAATGGTGCGATCTCGGCTCACTGCAACCTCTGCCTCCTGGGTTCAGGCAATTCTCCTGCCTCAGCCTCCTGAGTAGCTGGGATTACAGGCATGCGCCACCATGCCCAGCTAATTTTTTGTATTTTGAGTAGAGACGGGGTTTCACCATGTTGACCAGGATGGTCTCGATCTCTTGACCTCGTGATTCACCCACCTCAGCCTCCCAAAGTGCTGGGATTACAGGCGTGAGCCACCGCGCCTGGCCCGTGGTTTGTTTTATTTGCTCCCCATTAGGTTGCCTTGGTGTGCTGTTGTGGTATCAATGTGTCCCCTAAAGTTCATGTCTTGGGAACTCAATCCTCAGTGCAATAGTGTTGAGAGCTGGGGCCTTCAAGAGGTAAAGGCCTGTGCCTTCATCAATGGATTAATATCATTACTGAAGGAATGAATTTGTTATTCATTCCAGGGTGGTTATAAAAGAGTGTTCGGTCCTGCCTTGCTTTCTGTCTCTCCTGTGCTCTGTCACCATGTGCCACGTGGTGACACAGCAAGAAGGCCCTCACCAGATGCCACCCCTTGATCTTAGATTTCTCAGTTCTCCAGAACCATGAGCCACATACATTTCTGCTCATTATAAATTGCCCAGTCTGTGGTGTTTTGTTACAGCTGCATATAGCAGACTAAGCTGTGCTGATCACACATTCCCAAACGTGGTGCAGAGGGAGACTCCCTCCTGCTTTGGTTGCTGGATCTCAGAGCTGCTGGGCCAAGCAAGTTTCCTCCTATCTCCAGTTATGTCCACCGGGAAGGCTGCTACACCTGTGCACCCTCCAAGCTGTCTCTAATTCAAGCTCTGGGTATGAGGGGTGGTGGCCTGAATGCGACAGACGGCTTCACTCAGGATATGTGGTAGGAATCACCTGGCCCTCTGAACACTGCACACAGAACTCAAGCTTACAAACAGCAAAATCTCAAGAAACTCTTCTCCCAAAAGCCCATGTCACACCTCAGCCTCCTTTAACTAAGGAGCTGTGGGGGCTCTTTCTCCTTGCCCAGCCCCTGGTGTTACCTTGGCCAAGGGAGGCACAACTGTGTTTTCCAGGTGGGTCAGCAGGCATTCCACAGCTGAAATACGCTTATTCAGCTCAAAGATCTGCAGCAGAAGGAGAGAAACAGTGGGCAGAAGACCCCTGGCTCCCACAAGCAAGACTCTGGCACCCACCACCTCAGAAGCACCAAATTCCCAAGAAGTGGAAGGAGAGTTAAGGCCACCAGCTGTGACTTGGCCTGGGAAGGTTAACCGTGAAGCCTATTTCTGATACCAAGAGTTCTGGAACACCAAGCAAAATCTTGGAACGAAACCAAGAGAGGGGAGAGTGGGGAGGGTGAAAGCGGCAGGACAGCAGCTGAGTTCAGCAGGACAAGGAGCTGAATCTGGATGGTTGTGATGGTGTCATCACTGTGGACAGCCACTGTCACCACCAATACTGAGCAGCACAGGAAGACATCAGTTAATTATGCCACAGTGATCAAACTCACTCATTAGCCAGCAAGAGCCTTGGGTCGCTCGTGGGCTGGGAGGCAAGGCCCTTCAGGTGACAACCTAAATGGACCAGAAGTACGACTTGCTCATCCCTTGAGTCACCAGACTCTTGAGTCAACCAAAGTCTATTAGCTCCCAGACGGAGACATGGGAAATCAATTTCCTAGTTTTCCTCCTTGCCCAGCAGATGCATCTTTCCTGCCATTATCTCATATACGGCTCACCTGGCTTTAAAAGAGGGAAGCGGTGCTTGTGGAGTGTTAAGATGCTTTTGCACCGTTTGGTCCGTAATCACTTTAATCTTTACAGCACCAAGGGCTTTGAGGGGGCAAATCTGCCTGAAGAGCATGCTTGGCTGAGAAACGTCAACACTAGGGTTTTGATTAGACCTTGGCCCACGCCTGAGGAGCCACTGGTAACTGAGTCATGAGATTCAGAAAATATGAGGAAGTGTGAATATACCAAGTTTATCAGAATGAAAGCTTGACAGTGGCCACCCCGAAACACGGGCTCCAAACAGATGGGGTCCAAAGAAGACTAGTGGTTTCACTTACGTAGAAATTTTAGCAGGATCACAACGTTGCAGAGGAACAGTGATCTGGGGGGCCTCTCTTGAGGCCTCTGTTCCTGTTGAGCATCTGCAGAAGCAGAGATCAATACTCTGGGGAGAGAGCGCTCAGCAGACAACCTCTGTCTCCCAGAAGCGGTAGGCTTGGCACAGATGGGGACTCAGGAGAGGGCAACAGCCCCCCAGCCAGCACCTGACACCATTGCTGGGAAATGTTACATCCAGAGTGGAAGAGATGGGGAAATGCCACGAGGAGAAAGTGGCAGCAGGGTGGAGGATGCCGGGGCTGGGGGAGGTGGGCAGGAGCTAAAGGTGGGTGGGGGCAGCTGGGAGCCAGGGAGAGGCCAGCAGGGAAGAGTGGGAAGTGAGCTCAGCACCCTGCTTTCTGACAAGGCCCTGGCAGCGTCAGGCTCCTTCGCCGAGGAGGTGACAGCACAGACACAATAAGTATGATGCCACCCTGGCTCCGGGAGCACTGGGCCCCTTTCAAACAAGACCACAGTGCAGATACAGCAGCTCCTTCGCTACTCCTGAGTGCCCAATTGGTGTGGGGGTGAATGTAAGCATGCTGGCAAAATCAGGTGCTCATTCCACCTGTTGAAAATAGAGAAACGACTTCTCCCCACTGCCCCCTTTCTTTCAGAGCTCCTTTCTCTGCTTTTTCCAAATACGTGTAAATCTTTATAAAGGCGAAAAAGCCTCTCTCCAGTCTCAAAACTCGACCTGGGAACTGTGTTTTTGAAACGGAAACATCCCTGGAGATAACCCTAGCTCCGGGATCCCAAGAGGGGGTTAAGAGGCTAACTCCTACCTTTTTTCCCTCCTTTAAATAATTAGGACCAAACAGCATCAGAGATAAGGGTCCCCCAGGTCACTGTTCCTCTGTAAGGCTGTGATCCTGCCAAAATTTCCACGTAGATGAGACCTTCACTAGTCCACTTTGGACCCCGCTTGTTTGGAGTCCGTCTTTCCGAGCGGGCACTCTCAAGCCTTCGTTCTGATAAACTTGACATATTAATACTTACTCCTATTTTCTGAATCTCATTATTTAGGGTTGACAAAGTAAATACGAGTTAATAGGAACACACAAAGAGAAACAATTCCAGAGGCAGGATATACAAACATGAACTTGAGAATCGTTCCAAGCAGGTATAAAGGATAATTGGTTTCCGCAGGATTCATACCATGATGTGTATTTTACTAAAGGCTAATAAGTTGCTAAATTAAAGGTTTACTGAAAATAGACAACTTGATTCTCATCTTCATCCCATTGTTTTCAGACTAGGAAGCTGGAAGATGCTCAGCCAGCCACAGATCTGCCCCAGGTCTCTACCTGGCCACATGGAGGAAGTCTCTACTCTGGCCACTCCTGGGGAGGTCTCTATCCTGGGCACACCGGAGAGGTCTCTATTGTGGGCATACTGGGGAGGACGCCATCCTGTCCTCACCAGAGAGTTCTCTATTCTGGCCACCGTGGTCCTCCACTGTCCCCTGCAGCCATAGGTCCCCAGATGAACTTGGCTGAGTCGGCTCTTCCCCTTTTCTCAGAATAACTGTAGAATGTGCCACAAAAGCCACTTCCTGATATCAGGAAGAGCTGTGTGTGCTGTCCAGAGCCCAGGCCCTAGAACTGGATTCCTCTGGCCCAGTGATCCCAGTTTCCCAGGTCTCTATCCTGGCCACCCTAGTCCTCTACTGTTCGCTGCAGCCACAGGTCCCTGGATGGACTAGGCTGAGTCGGCTTTCTGGGATCCCCCAGCTGCCGCATGAGGTGGGGCACTTGCTCCGAGACTCCACCTTTCCTGCAGCTTCCAAGTCCTCTCAGGACACAGACACGGCAGGGGCCAAGCCAGCCACTCCCTGATTTGAATCAAAGGACACTTCCTTGCATCAGGGCCTTGCTTGCTGTTACATGAAAGGAGTCGTGGGCCTCAGGAGGTGAAGCGACCATAAGCGGTCTTCACGCAGGCCTTCTCAGGGCCTTCATGCCTGGCTCTGATGGGGCAAGCGTGCTTCTTTCGGAGACTAAGTGGGCGTTCAAGGAAGTTGGTGCAGGAGAAACTTTCAGACCAGGGCTGAGGAAGCTTCTAAATGACAGTACAGTAAAAAGCCAGCCGAGGGCACTGACTCCAGAGAGACGCCCACGCCGAGTTCAGAAACTGCACGCCTCTGTCCTGTGGACACTAGCCCAATCTAGAACCCAAACCCCTAGGATTTCCCGTAGGGCCATGCTAGAAAGACTCTTTGTGAAATTCTGGTGCTCATTTTCAGCAGGTCATTTCTCTGGGTGCAGAAGCGAAGTGACAAGAGGCTGGAAGACCCCTCACCTACCATGCGTGTGAAGGTCCGGCCCTGTGAGAACAGCCACAGGACAGATTTCCTGTGGGATGGGGGCTCAGAAAAGCCTGGGGCCACTGGGTCTTTTTCTCCTGTTGCCCACTCCTGAGCCAGTGCTGGCCTAGTGACTGCCTTGGGGCGGGGGTCTGCAGCCCTGTGGCTGTAGAGCTGGCCAATGCTTCATGTCGGGTAGTCCTGTGCACTAAAGGGCCAGGGCGCTGGAGAAACCCTGGACCCTGCACAACAGCCTCCTTGTGCCCCGCCCAGCTCGCCTGCCCCTCAAGAACCCCTGCCTCCTTGCTGCTTCCAGGCCTTTCCTGACAAGGCTCAGCATTCACTCAGCCGCCCTCCTGGCAGCCCAGAGCCCACGGGCCCTGAAGGGAAGCTCCACAGAAGCATTCCCTTTCCCAGATCTCCCAGGAGGAGGGAGGAGGGGCTCTGTGCCAGGCACCACCATGCCCACGGAGCTAGACCTACACTCATCCAGGCTCCAGAAGATGTGCCTGAGACCAGCCTTGGTGATGCTGTGGTTTCTGTCTCCATTCAGAGCGAGGCCACTCCCCCTTCTCTGGGTTTCGTGCCTCTAGGGTCGTTAGTTACAGAACAGCCCCCCACCCCATGATTACAATGCTGGGGTCAAGGCTCTATCGGAGACATGAATAGCCTGTGTCTTTCTTTGCCTTAAACAATCTAGTGGTCATGATGTTCTCAGACGAAACAATATTGCCTTTCTCCCAGTAACATGAACTTGCTCAAATAGAAATCAGCTGACTCAACAGAATCATCTAAATGCAGTGAGGGGAACTCAGGGTACTTAAATAAATCTTGTGATGAATTATTTCATAAGCCAGTGTCTACAGTGTGAGTGATTCTACTCATTTAACAGGTGTTAAGTATTATGAGCAGTTTCTTAATGTCTATATAAAGCCTGCTAAGGGGCTGGGTGCGGCAGCTCACGCCTGCAATCCCAACACTTTGGGAGGCCGAGGTGGGTAGATCACTTGAGGTCAAGAGTTCGAGACCAGCCTGGCCAACATGGTAAAACCCCATTTCTACTAAAAATACAAAAGTTAGCAGGGTGTGGTGGCAGGTGCCTGTAATGCCACCTAATCAGGAGGCTGAGGCAGGAGACTTGCTTGAACCCAGGAGGTAGAGGTTGCAGTGAGCTAAGATGGCACCACTGCACTCCAGCCTGGGCAGCAGAGTAAGGCTGCTAAGCCTAAGAGTGAGCTAAGTCTCGCTCTTTTATTTTTAAAAATAAAACCTAAGGGTTTCACATACCTGACAGATTATTTCCTCCTCTTGTAAAATATATAATACTTGATTGAGTATAAAATATGTATTTTCATGAAAAGGAATGAAGCACTCATATATGCTACAGCATGGACGGATCTGGAGAGCATTCTGCTCAGTGAAAGGAGCCAGTAACAACAGGCCAGATGTCCTCTGTGAGTCCATTTGCAGGAAATGTCCAGAATAGACAAAGCCATGGAGACAGAAGGAAGACTGCTGGAGGAGGCTGGGGCAAGGGGGAGTAATTGGTTAATGGGTGTGGGATTCTTCGGGGGGTGAATTAGAGGTGGTGGTTACACAACACTATAAATGTACTGTCAATGAACTGTATACCTCAAAAGTTAATTTTTTGGCTGGGTGTGGTGGCCTACACCTGTAATCTCAGCACTTAGGGAGGCCAAGATGGGTGAGGCACCTGAGGTTAGGAGTTTGAGGCCAGCCTGGCCAGTAGGGCAAAACTCTGTCTCTACCAAAAATACAAAAATTAGCTGGGTGTGGTGGGGCACACCTGTATTCCTAGCTACTTGGGAGGCTGAGGAGGGAGAATTGCTTGAACCCGGGCAGTGGAGTTTGCAGTGAGCTGAGATGGCACCATTGCATTCCAGCCTGGGCCACAGAGTAAGACTACGTCTCAAAAAAACTAAAATCAAAAAACAAAACTAAAAAATAATTTTGAAGACTAAAGATGATTTATTTTCTCCTAAGTTCCATAAAATGTGTTACTTCTTTCAAATTTTTAAATTATAAAATACTATATTAAAAATTTATCCTTTTAATCATTTTCAAGGTATTAGGTATATTCACATTGTTGTATAACTGTCACCCCCATCCGTGTCCAGAACTCCTTCATCCTGCAACACAGAGACTCTATGCCCATTCAGCACCAATGCCCCATCCCCCTGACCCAGCCCTGGTGACCACTATTACAGGTTCTGTCTATGAATTTGACTAAGAACCTCAGATAAGTGGAACCATACGGTTCCGTACAGGCTCTGTCCAAAGTGACCGGTTTACTTCACTTAGCATAATGTTCTCAAGGCTCATCCACAGTGTAGCATGTGTCAGCATCTCCTTCCTTTTCAGGGGTGAGTAATATTCCATGTTGTGTATGAGCTGTGTTTTGTTTACCTATTTATCTGTTGATGGAGGCTTGGGTTGCTTCCATCTTTTGGTTATTACAAAAAATGCTGCCATGAACACGGGGATACAAATGTCTTTTTCAGTCCCTGTTTTCCAGTTTTGGGGGCGTATACCAAGAAGTGGAACTGCTGGATCACATGGAAGCTCTATTTTAAATTGTATGGTTAATTATTATTAACCATCCCGAGATGGTTAATTTTCTGTTATGTGAATTCACTTCCATAAAAAATATTGTGATGACCTATCTCTGTTAAGTAGGCTTGCAGAATTTCATACTCTAAAGCACTGCAAGCTTTAATTTTTCTAAAGTGACTTGGTGTGGGGGGTGAAAAGACTCCACTCAAAAAAAAATGACAAGATGGAGGCCTTTCCAGCCACCGTTACCTGACTCTCAGAGGATGCCCGGCCTCTCCGCTTGGAATGATGGGGGGACGCCATGTGAGCCCAGATGCTTTCCTCGTCGGAGGTATCCACATCAGCCAAGTACTGCAGGGGCAGCTGCTCCTTCCTGATGACATTTGGCCCTTTGGAGAAAGAGCGGGTTTGAGTTACTTGGAGTGAAAAGCTGAAAGCCGATGGACGTGTTTAGTCCAGGGTAGAAAAATGAGAGCTTAAAGAAAATAAAGACATAATGATGTCCCTCTGATGTGACAGTAAGAATGGAGCAGATTCCAGGACCACACACAGAGATCTTCAGGAAAAAGAGAGGGCTTTGCCTGACACTGTGGGTGGGAGTTAAGAGTGGACATATTTTGCATGCTTGCAAAGCAAAGTACCAGGATTCCCAATTTCAAATTGCAAATAATGCCTGATTCCATCAGGATGAGATCATAAATGTATTGTTTTAAGCCACATTTTATGTTTGTGATAATTTGCTATTTAATCCCTATGACAATAGGGTGAGCTAGGTATTATTAACCCCTTTTGCACAATGAGGAAACGGAGGTGCCCAGAGGTTAAGCAATTTGTTCAGTCAGCATAGCATATCTCATTGAATCTCAGACTCTGCAGGTTGGATGTTGCACTATTAAGAGAGAGACAGTGGCCGGGTGTGGTGGCTCATGCCTGTAATCCCAGCACTTTGGGAGGCCAAGATGGGTGGATCACAAGGTCAAGAGATTGAGACCATCCTGGCCAACATGGTGAAACCCCGTCTCTACTAAAAATACAAAAAATTAGCTGGGCATGGTGGCGCATGCCTGTAATCCCAGCTACTCAGGAGGCTGAGGCAGGAGAATTGCCTGAACCCAGGAGGCAGAGGTTACAGTGAGCCGAGATTATGCTATTGCACTCCAGCCTGGCAACAGAGCAAGACTGTCTAAAAAAAAAAAAAGAGAGACAGTGCTGCCAATGAGACTCAAGCACACCCCTTTCTTACCACATTCTCTGTAAGATACTTGGCATTTGAGAGGTTGATATGTAAAAAGAATGTATGTGAGAACCAGTGAAGCAAACCGGCAGAGCCAGGCTCCAAACTCAGAACTGCCTGCCCCCAAGGCACCTCTCCCAGCACGATGCAGGCTCTCGTGGTCTCTCCCCAGGCTGCCTCCTATCCACGGGCTCAGAGACATGAGATCACAGAGGAAGTAAAACTGCTGTCCAGGTCTGGATCCTGTGGTCTGGCCAAATCATTTATTCATTGTTTTTTGGGGAAAGTAGAGCCCTGCCTTCCTCCCAAAACCTCCAAGGTCCCTGTCAGCATGAGGGCCATGAGATTCTGGTCCCTTCAATACAATGAAGAGGGAAGCTGGAGAGTAGATTGCATCCCCACACGCAGCCACTGGCTGTGGCTGGGGGAAGCTGGCTGCTGCTGTGATCCTACTTTCTCCTGCTATGACAGGGCATGCGAACTCCTAGGCCCACGGCACACACACCCTCGGGTACCGGAAAAGAGAGATTTGGGGATTTCATTTCAAAGCAAAACTGACAACAAAGTTAAGCTAAGCAGATTTAGGTTCTCAGTGCTTAAAGATCTCCTGATAACAGCCTTGAGCCGACTCTGGGCTGGGGTGGTGGTGCCCAGATGCCCATCTTGCCCAGACCAGGATGGTCGGTCGGTTGAGCGGTGGTTCTAGTCATTTCAGGGAGGCCTGCATGTCCCCACCCCAAGCCAGCAGTAGTGAGCTGCGAGCTGGCCACCTCCTGGGCTGGAAGTTCTGAGAGTTACAGGGAAGCACACATCCCAGGGAGGGCAGGGGTCCACAGCACTTGTTGGGACTGCACGTCCCAGACAATCATGCCAAAGGAAGGGGTCTTTCACATCAGCCCATGTGTTGGCATAGGTCAGGGTGGTGAGGTTCTCAGTGACCCCCTCCTGCATGCCGAGCCCATTAGGAATACCCTGGCCAAGGGCACCTACCTAGTGCAGCAGCAGTCCCCAGGGCCAGCCCGTGGGAGCCTCCAGGCAGGGAGAGCTCAGCGAGGGCACCGTGTCCAGAAGGTGAGATGCGTGTCGGCTGCTCTTCTGGATGGAGATGGCACCCAGAGGCCCCAGCGTCCACCTCCTCCAGGCCCTCAGCCTTCTGGGGGACTGCCTTCTCTGAGCAGGACTCATCTGTGAGGGACTAAGCACACGGGCCGTCAGCCTCCTCTGGGATTTACTAGGAGGGGCCGCTGCCTGGAATGTGGGTCTTTCAATCCAAGCCCTGAGGCTTTCCAGTCATTTGACTGACCTACCACTAGACCCTCATCCACGCTGGTCCCCACTACTCAGTTGTCTTAAATTTCAAAGGCTGTGCCTGAAGCATGTATTGCCTATTTGTTGCCTACTGACTGCCCATTGCATACGTTCATGCAGTGTTGGGGCTCCCAACGACACCCTGGACCAGGCATGACACAAGGGGACCAAAACTCTTCTGACACAGCCTCAGGGGGCTCAGACTCACTCAGAGACCAAAGTCCGAGGCCGTGGGCAGGGAAGTTAATATTTTTGGGAGAAGGTTACATTGTTACTAACTAGGTACACCTTAATCTTTGACGATCAGAAGGGCAGGGGGGGCTTCCTGGCAGCTCCTCGGCTGTAATCTGGACATCCCTCCAGCAGAGGGGTCTCTGTGTTATGTCACTGTCTCCAAGGAAATGAGGTCCTGAGGGCTTCAAGAAGCGATATGCCACAGCGCCCCTCCAGTGTGACTGTGAGTGGGGGTGGGGGCCACAGGAAACGCACACTTAGGCCAGCCTCTAGTTAGAGCAGGACCTGTGGCCCGGAGACCACTTGGCTGCTGGCTTCCAGGATCCGCCCTGCTTCCCCCTCCTCCTGAAAGGGTTTTCAGACCAGCCTGGGAGACCCAGCCCCACCCCAGCTCTGGCTCAGCAGGGCCTGAGCCCAGGGGATGCCGGGAGTGGAGTTCAGGAGTTCACTATGAAGCCGGCCTTGGGCCTAGGCCTGGCTCAGAGCCCATAGTTACCTTTACTGCCTCCCTGTGAGTCCCATGCCTTCCACGGACAGCACCTATGATGATTAGTACTGAAAATTAAGGAGTATGGCTCACGGACTCCCTCCATCTTTGCTATTCTGCAAATTCAAACTATGAGTGAGTCCATAGCTGAACCACATTACTCACCTGAGGTCTTCAAACCCTGCTCTTAATGACTTCTAAGGAATCTCACTAACCCTGCCTTCCCTCCACCATTAATCTAGTAGGAGAACTCTTTGTGACTATGGCTCATTCTCCTGATCTAATACCACCATTATGCTTTTAGGCCTTAGTCTACTAATGACAGCCCTCTACTCCCTAAATATGCTAATCATGATGCAATGAGGGACACTTACATATGACATTAACAGTATTAAACCTTCCTTTACATGAGAAAATACATTAATACTCATACATCCTGCGTTAATCCCGACACGTCCTGCGTTAATCCCGACACGTCCTGCGTTAACCCCGTGACGTCCTGCGTTAATCCCGTGACGTCCTGCGTTAATCCCGACACGTCCTGCGTTAATCCCGACACGTGCTGCGTTAATCCCGACACGTCCTGCGTTAACCCTGTGACGTCCTGCGTTAATCCTGACACGTCCTGCGTTAACCCTGTGACGTCCTGCGTTAATCCCGACACGTCCTGCATTAATACCGACACGTCCTGCGTTAATCCCGACACGTCCTGCGTTAATCCCGATATGTCCTGCATTAATACTCTTACATCCTGCGTTAATCCTGTTACGTCTTGCACCTCTCTTCCTATTGTCCTTAAACCCTAGAATTATTATGGGGCTTGCACGCTGTAGCTATAGTTTAATCAAAACATTACATTGTGGATCTAACAATAGATGCCTGCACTTCTTACCTACTGAGAAGTGTGCAGGAGCCGCAGACTCGCCCCCAAGCCTAACGACATGGCCTTCTCAGCTTTCAAAGGGTTAGAGTCATGCATTGGTCTCAGGAACCAAAAACACCGGTGCAACTCCAAATAAAAGTAACAAACGAAAGTATTCTACCCCTGCTGTAACAGCCCGAATCCCCTTAATCTTACCAATTGCTGTTACCTTAGCATGATGGCATGTGCCTTCATCATTGGTCTCAGCCCCACAACAATGTTCATATACACAGCCCAGGAAGTCATGATCTCCAACTGACATTGAATGACGGTCCAGAATCTCAAACTCACCAAGCTTCAAACTAGGCTCTTCTCCACAATGTCTGTCCCAGTGGCAGTCATCGTTACCTGATCTATTGTAGAATTCTCGATATATAAACTCGGACCCTAACATTAATCACTTTTTCAAATACTTATTTTCCTCATCACAATATTAATTCTGGTTACCACCAACAACTTCTTTCAGCTCGTTGTCAGATGAGAAGGTGTAACAATCATGTCATCTTACTAATTGGTGGACGAGCAGATGCTAAAAACACCACCCTCCAAGCCGTTCTGCACACCTGCACCGGCGATACTGGCTTTATCTTAGCTTCCTCCTGTTCTCCAACACCCGAAAATTCCAACAAACATTTATTCTAGACGCTACCCCCACTCCCTTCCATTAATTAGCTTTCTCTTAGCAGCAGCAGGAAAGTCAGCTCCGTTCAGCCTTCACCCTTGACTTCCATCGCCATGGAGGGCCCAACCCGAGTCTCAGCCCTGCTCCGCTCTAGCCCTATAGCTGGAGCAGGAGCTTTCCTGCTCATCCACTTCTACGCTTTAATAGAAGATAACCGATCAATCCAAACCTTTACAGTATGTCTGGGGGCTCTTATCATCTTATTTCCAGCAATCTATGCTCTAACGCAAAATGCCATCAAACCAGCTCGGCCTTATAATAGTCACAATGGCGTTAATCAGCCACACCTCCCATTCCTTTGCATCTGAACCCACGTGTTTTCAAAGCTATATTATTTATATATTCAGGGCCCATCATCCATAACCTCAATGATGAACAAGACAGAGGACTGTCCAAGACTTACCCCTCGCGTCCTCCCCACTCAGTGTCGCCTGCCCTGCACTTACAGGTTGGCCTTTCCGCACAGGCTTTTACTGTAAGGACCTGATCACGGAAACCGCAAACACATCGTGCCCCAACCGTTACTCTCATTGCCACCTCCTTAACAGCTGTCTCTAGCACCCTTATTGTTTTCTTTGCTCTAATCGGACAAGCTTGCTTCACCACTCTGGTTACTGTTAACGAAAATAACCCCTTCCTAATTAACTCGTTAAGCGGCTGACAGTCGGCAGCATCTTCGCGGATTCCTCATCACCGGCAGCATCCTGCTTCATCTTCCCAAGCAACCAGCCGCCCCTCCTGAAGCCCACAGCCCCAGGTGAACCACCTTAGGCTTCCTGCTAGCAACGGACCTTAATCTCACAACTAATCACCTTAAACTAAAATACCCGTTACAGACATTCAACTTCTCCAACACCCTAGGATTGTATTCAGCCGCAGTTCGCTGTACAACCCCCCACCCAAGCCTACTCACAAGCCGGAATCTGGCGTTACTTCTACTAGGCCTAATTTGGCTCGAGAAGTCTATACCAAGGGCCATCACACACACCCAAACTTCAGCCTCCATTACCCATTGCTGCGTCTGCTTGGAAAGGCCTCATTAAACTCTACTCTCTCTCTCTCTCTTTCTCTCTTTCTCTCTCTCTCACTCTCTCTCGACAGAGTCTTGCTCTGTTGCCAGGCTGGAGTGGTGCAATCTGGGCTCACTGCAACCTCTGCCTCCTGGGTTCAAGTGATTCTCCTGCCTCAGCCTCCCGAGCAGCTGAGACTATAGGCGCGTGCCACCACACCCAGCTAATGTTTGTATTTTTAGTAGAGACGGGGTTTCACTGTGTTAGCCATGATGGTCTCCATCTCCTGACCTTCTGATCTGCCAACCTTGGCCTCCCAAAGTGCTGGGATTATAGGCGTGAGCCACCGTGCCTGGCCTACTTTCTCTCTTTTTATATCCCATCCCTTCTAACTACTCCTAATTATCTGATCTATTATCCCAAGTAATTTCAATCGCAACATAGTAACAAATAATGATCAACCAGCAACTATCTCTAATCAGCACCTTGAATAGGTTCCTGGGACAAAGGCCACACAGCTAATGACTAAGGCAGCCACATGTCGTGTTCACCTGGATGGCTCCTACCATTGCCCTGTGTCCAGGTGTGATTATTAATAGTAGCCCGTATCATAGGACGGTCCTAGTTTGGGCAATAAAATGTATGTTCCCCTCCCACTAAGTTGAGATGCAGGCACAACGGCAGGCCCTGTCTGACTCTACCTCTGTCCTGCCCTCCTGAGTCTTAAGGGTTCTGCTGTATTTCTGTGCCAAGCACCAATCCCATCCCCTGGTCCCCCAGCTCATCTGCCCAGCCTCAGGGCCCTACATCGGCCCCTGCTTCTCCAAGCTGCCTCCTCAATATTTCCAGACATGCTAATTCTAGGGGAGTGTGAGGTCTCTGGATCCTGTTTCCCCACAACTGTCCCCATCCCTGTCATGCCTTGGGAGCCAGGTGGGACTGTGCGGCCATCAGACAGTGCTGTCCCTCATCCAAGGCCTGAGCACCTGCTGCCCAGGTTCCTGGGAGGGGAAGGGGAAAGACACGAGGACCCACTGACCTGCAGGCTGTCCATGGTTGCAGGGACTGAGGGCAGGTGCAGGGAGTGACCTTGAGGCTGACTGGAGTCATCTGAGTCTCCCTCGAAGTCGAAGTCATGGATGGAGAGGAGGCGCTTTTTCTTAGCAGGCACAAGACAGGGCAAGACTCAAGTCAGGGCTAGCTAGAGGGAGAGGACCGAGCACCCTGCACCTCCCCAACCCTGCACTCAGCCTCCAGGGTGGCGACACAGGCTCCTCTTCCAGCACATCCACCTCCTCCACTAGGAACAAACCCGACTGAGCCCGGAGAGGGAGCTGGTTGGTGCTCATGGTGCCCATCCCCGCCCCAGGACGCAGGATCTGCATCTCCAGAACCTTGGCTGACAGAAAGGAACACTGAGCTGAACCCCTGCCCCTGCCCAGGGGCCCCACCTTGGGGGCAGGTAGGCTGTTCCAGGGCTGGGAGAGGGGAGGATCCCTGGGGCTTTGGGTAAGGGGGGTGTGATGGGTAAGTGGGGCAGAGGTGGGCAAGCTCCTGAGAGTTCCTCATTCTTTAGATGCAAGAGCCTACATTTAGTTCTAAACCCCTCCCTCGGTATAATTATTTTGATCTTTAAAACTGATCTGTCATGTAGGGAATATTCCAGGCACTGGAGAGCATTCTGGGAACTTCATACATAGCATGAATCAAATGTTCTCAAGCGGAAGATGCTGATGTTCCCCTCACAGCCACTGCGAAGACCTGGGTCACGTTGAATCTCACTGGCCTGGCTCTCTCCTAGGGTCACATTGAATCTCACTGGCCTGGCTCTCTCCTAGGTTCACGTTCAATCTCACTGGCCTGTCTCTCCTAGGGTCACGTTGAATCTCACTGGCCTGGCTCTCTCTAGGGTCACGTTGAATCTCACTGGCCTGGCTCTCCTAGGTTCACGTTCAATCTCACTGGCCTGGCTCTCTCCTAGGTTCACGTTGAATCTCACTGGCCTGGCTCTCTCCTAGGTTCACGTTGAATCTCACTGGCCTGGCTCTCCGAGCGTCTGAGTCTGAACCCCTGCTCACCCACCCAGCCCCTCCCTCCAGCTGCTGCGCCTTTCTGTATCCCACCCCAAAACCCAGGGGTTACATGGCTTTTCTCTCCCATGAGTTAGACAATATGTGAACACAGGAGCAAACACAAGGCTCATAGTTGGTCAAAAAAAAAGAATAAAAACCCAGAAGGAGAAAACATCTCAGAGGAGAGTCTGAGGGTCCACTTTCCTGAAGGCTGCAAAGGCGGCTGCTCTCAGGACCCCGAGAGCCTTCCAGGACCCCTGCCTGCCCTACAGCAGCCCCTGCACTCACTGTACCTGCATTCCCCTGGGCTCCTTCCACACACTCAGCAGGCTGTGCCCCTCCACAGATGGCTTGTGAGGCTTCTGATGGGGGAAGCACTGCTCCTGCTTGGTGCCCAGTGAGCTCAGAGATTACTGAGGCCTGGGAAAGGGCAGTGGATTCTCGATGCTCACACAGTAGGAGCTAGTGGAGTTGTGGAGAGGGCATCGAGGTGTTCAGGAAACTAGAACCCGAGGTTCCAGCTGTGGGGAGGAATCGAGGTGGCTGAGGAGGGGGTGACTGGAGATGACTTACTTTGCTGCCAAAGGGCTGGACCTGGGCCTCTGAGTCCTGCTTTCCATCCTCATCCGTCTGCTCGCTGTCTCCACTTCTCTCTTCAGAGACTGGCTCAGGCCCAGCTGCAATAGATACCTGCATGACTCCACCCAAGGACAGCCAGTCCAGAAGCAGCCATTTGTCAGTCCATGCACACGCCCATCCTCTAATCCATCTACCTACCAACCCCTCCCTCCTTCCCTCCTTCATCCATTCACTCACCTATCCACCCAGAAATGTATCCCTCCATCTACCCATCTGCCAACCCATCTGTCCATCTGTCCATCCATCCATCCATCTATCCATCTATTCACCTACCCGCCCACCCATTTATCCACTCATCCACCCACTCAATAGGCAGCCCATTCATCCATGCCTGCATGTAGGCATCTATCCATCCATCCATCCACTCACCCACCCACCCACTTACCTATCCTCCACCCATGTATTCATCCATCCATCCCTCCATCCACCCACTCATCATCAATCCATCTATACATCCATCTACTCAATCAATCAGTGGCTCATCCACTCACCCACCCATCCATCCCTCCCTCCTTCATCCATGAACCCACCCCCCATCAATCCATTTATCCATCCATCCACTCAGTCAATCAGTGGTCCATCTATCCGTGTACCCACTCATTCACCTACCCATCTGCCCATCCATTTACCTATCCATCTATTCATCTATCCATCTACCCACCACCCATCCCTCCCTCCTTCATCCGTCTACCCATCCACCCTGCTGCCTACCCATCCACCCACCAATCCGTCCATCCACTCAGCCATCTATCTATCCACTCACCACCTATCTATCCACTCAGCCATCTATCTATCCATCCACTTATATATCTATCTACCCACCACCCACTCACCTATCTACCCACCCACCCATCCATACATCCACTCACCTACCACCTTAGCTGCCCATCCATCCATCTATCCATTCATCATCCATCCATCCAGCCAGCCATGCATCATCCATCCATCCATCCATCCATCCGTCTCTCCCTCTCCCACAATCCACCCACTGAGAAACATCCAGACAAGGCTCTCTGCTGGCCTTTCATAGACCCATCCAAACATCACTTAGAGCTGGTCTGAATTACAGTATAAAAACCAGTACTCTGCCTCAATGTTACTGATCAGTTGCCAATGTTACCAATCATTGTTGCCAACAGGTCTGACCGTGTCTGCAGGATTGTACTTATTGGGCAGTGGGAAGACCCCGGAGCTGTGGAGTCTGAAGGGGACCTGGAAGGAAGTCATGTTCTCCCGAACACGTGGCTTTACCCGCAGGCTCATAGCATTTGCTGGGCAGCAGGTCTGGCCTCAGTGCTGCAGGGAGGGAGGTGAGGCTCAGCACTCATGCCCTCTCTCCTTTCTCTGCTCAGAGGGCTCCTTCGTCACTCTGAGCTCCTGGGCCTGGCCTCCCTAGCACAGCTCACAGTCTTTTTCTCCTTTCTTCCACTCACCTTGACCCGGCCTGTCCTGTGACTGTGGCAAGTGATTCAGTAAAGGGACCCCAGGGTTTAGTGCTGGGAGGCCCCGTGGACCATCCACCTTTGTATTCCAGGGGCTGCTGAGGGCTAAGCTGGCACTGTGGAGCTCGGATCCTCTGGGCCCAGCCAGGCCTTGCTGCCCCTGGATACCCTTGCCCTGGGGCCTACCTCTGGCTCTCTGTGCCTCCGGGATCACAGGTGTGAACAAGCGGGCATTGGTGCATCGGAGTGTGCACTGTCAGCTGCAAAGGGCTGCAGGACTGTGGGTACAGGGCCCAGGGCGGCCTCAGAGCCACCTTCACTCTCTGCTCTGTGATGCAGGAGCTGGCCCTGCATGCCACACACTGCCTGGCCTGCTGCTCTCTGAGGGCCCGGCCCCCAGTGAGTGGGAGTGGGAAAAGGAAGAACGAATGTGTTCCTTTCTGGCGCTTCCAGTCCAAAGCCCTTGACCCTGACAGCTGGTCCAGCTTCATCACGGCCCCTGAGACACGGTCACTAGCCAGCGGCATCCTTGCTTTGGAGGGCTGGGTCCCACCCCTGGGTGGCCTCCTTGGAGCTCCCTGTTTCTGTTAACCCCGGCCTCTGCCCTTTGCTCTCAGTCCTGGTGGCTGTGGGGATGGAGGCACTCCTGCAGTTACGACCTGATACCTGGTATCTCCTTTTCCATTCTCCATTAACAGCATTTGAACCAGTTCCTCATATGAAATGACCGTGAGGTTTCTGTTTTAGACTTTTCCCTGACTGGCCCACCTGTGGTCCCCACAGCTCCTATCCTCATCTCTCGGGGCTGGGGCCCCTTGGCAGGAAGCACCTCCCTTGCGGGTTTCAGTCCCAGAGGAGCAAGTGTCCATATTTGCTGGACTGGCTGTGCTGACTGTCCCCACTTGGGGACAGCAGGGCCTGCCTCTTCCACAGCCTGGGGTGGCCTCAGGACAGCCCAGGACCCGGCACCTGGCAAGCGTTCAGTGGATGCTGAATCAATCAATCACCAACACATCTTCCAAAGCCTCCCTCGAGATGGAGACCTCACTGTGCACCTCCCTTCACCTGCCCAAGTGTCACACACCCTCCTCCATGCTGTCCACACCAGCTCACGATTTCACCATCAACTGGGCCTGGGCAGCTCTGCGTTCTCAGGCTCTGTCCGAGGTCTTTTACATGGGTTGGAAAATTAAGTCTCATTGTCCAGTTTTCCAATCATAATACAGAGATAGGAAGAGTCAACCAATCGGCAAAACTGGACATCTGGGGGGACTTTGTAACGGGCAGCTGAGAGCACACTCTGTCACTGCCTGTTCCGTCTGAAGCTGCCTCGGCCATTCACCACTTTGCTGCCACTTAGGAATGTCTGGGAAGATGCCAGGGTGAGTCAAGGGGAACGGCTGCCTGCCTGGTCTCAGTGGGCCTCAGTTTCCCCAGCGGAAGGAGAGATGGGGGAGGCAGCCTGGTATATTCTTTACTTAAATCTTTCTCTTAAAGATAAAAACTGTCAAGGGTCTTAAAGGGGCCTACAGGTGCCTGTGTCTGAGCTGCCAGGTCCACTTTTATGCACTCAGTGGAGGCCTGCCTGGCAGTGCCGTTGGGGCTCAGAAAACAATGCTCCCAGATGAGGGCCTCAGCAGCAAAGTGTCTGACCTTCTGCCCTCTTTTCTCCCAGGCCCATTCTTCCCCAAGGCCAGCCATCAAGAGTAGTAGAATCCCTCTTCCCAAGGCAGGATATAGAAACCAGAATCCCTTTCTCCCAAAGCCAGCCACTAAACACACAAATATCACTCTAATGTTCTCTCTACTTTTCTTGTAAAAACCAGCCATATGAGGCAGGAGAATTGCTTGAACCCAGAAGGCGGAGGTTGCGGTGAGCCAAGATCGTGCCATTGCACTGCAGTCTGGGTAACAACAGCGAAACTCCATCTCAAACAAAACAAAACAAAACAAAACAAAACCAGCCATAAAGAAATCTGGCTGGGCATGTGTGGCTTATGCTTGTAACTCCAGCACTTTGGGAGGCTGAAGTGAGAGGACTGCTTGAGCCCAGGAGTTCAAAACCAGCCTGGGCAACATAGTGAGACCCCATATCTAAAAAAAGAAGAAGAAAAAAGCAATTATCGGACCTTCCTTGTTTGACTTGAGTCTTCTTTCTCCAGGAATGGAGAGGCTCCTGCTCCACTCCTGAAAGAAAGGCAAAGAAGACTCTAGACAGACAGGCCTTCCTGGGCGCCCCTCAGCTGGTCAGCAGTAGACCCAGCCTTGCTGTGTAATCCTCTTTCATACACTGTCCATCCTTTCTTGAACCTAAGCATAAAAGTGGACAGTTTCCCTGCATCTGTGGGTCTTCATTCTGAAGGCTCCCATGTATACGTGGTGAACACATTTCTGTGCCTTTTGTCCAGTGAATCTGCCTTTTACGAATTGATTTTTCTGCAAACTTTCAGAAGGTCAAAGCTTTTGGCTCCAAATGTGCCCAGGTGATGAGGCCAGAGAGCAGACCTGGTTTTAGTTTTCTTCTCTCTGGACAGTAAGTGCCGTGAAGAGACGCATCCCAAACCACCAGGCAGAGACCCTGAGGCGTGACCTCCCCGTGCACCCAGGGATGCGGAAACGGGCTTTCTGGGGCCTGGGGGCCCACCTGTCAGGGTGATGTCCAGGCCCCCACGATGAACATGAAGAGGAAGTATTCCGGGTTCAGGGATCCTTTGAGTGTTGGCCCCTATCATCACTCTGCACTTGAACCAAGGGTTTGGGTAACACAATCCTATCTATCTAATCAAGTCATGCTAAAAAAAAGTTTTCCGCATTCCTGACACAGAACAGAGATTTTTCTGACAACTCTTGATAGGGAGGAGAAAACAAAAATAGAACCACATGAGCATAAAGAACTTAGTCTTGACGTCAGGTGAGCTCTGCACTGCCAGGCACAGCTACCGCCGAGGGAAAGGCACCGGGAGAAGGCGCGGGTGGCGGGGCTGTGTGCTCAGTGACCAGCCCAGAGTTTTCCTTCCTTTCCATCGAAGCTGCTTCCTGCAGAGCCTGCCGGGTCTCCTGTGGACGGCCTTGGTGAAACACCCAGCAGTCTGAAGGTTCACTCGGTGAAGACCCCCAGCGGCCCACCTACCAGCTGGACAAGGTCTGCATTGGGCCCTGGCTAAAGCAGGTTTCAAAACCTTAACCTTTTATGCCCTACTTTTTTTTTTTTTTTTTTTTAAAGCCCAGCTCTCCCAGTTTTTGTGTTCCTTGCTTGCGCCATTTTGATGTAGTTACAGGTGCCCGGCATCGGGGAACGCAGCCCCCGCGGGACTTGGGGGAGCTGCTGGGAATCCAGGTTCAAGGGACAGCTGTTTTCTGTTGCCCCACAGCGCCACCTCCTGGCCCTTGGTGGTGATGATTTTGAAGTCGGCAGGTTGGGGCGGATTGTGTGAACTCCAGCAGCTCTGGGCTGAGCTTCGGAAACCCTGCATCCTTCGAAATGACACAGCTTCCTGAGCCCACCCCAGTCCCTAAAAGCTGCCTCTGGGGTTGAGATTCTCACATGCTTGAGACCATGGCTTTTCCCGCTGTTACGCGTCATTTCCGTCCCTAAGCCTGGCGGGGGTGACTGGGGGCTGGACCAAGCTCCATCTGTGCCGGAAGACCCTTTAGTGCGCCCCGGGCTGGCCATGTGCATGTGGGGAGGTGGGATTTGCTGCTGGGCTTCATGACTGCCGTGTAGAACACGGTGATGGCCTCCCCCCGTGTCATCGGCCATGCCTAGTCCCATCTGTTGTTGCAGCATGTAATCAGTGGAGCCTCCTTTCACTCTTGAAAACGCCCTGGTTTGGGTGATTTATCAGACTCGTCCCCACCCCCACCCCCACTCCCGCCAACCAAGACATGCAGCCACCCTGTGACATGCGGTGTGCTGCTCCAGGGGTGCCACTCGGTGGCCTCTGTCCTAAATTAAAAGCTGTGCTAAGATGCCCTGAAATGTTTGCGGCTGGCCCAGCGAGAGCTTGAATGTTCAAAGGGTATCTATGACAACTTCTGCTTCTCCAATCAAACTTGGCTTTAAGGGACAGGCACGAATAAGGTGTCTCTCCAGAAGGAAAGCCTGGGGGAGACACCTGGGCTGGGGCATGGTGAGGATGCCCCTGAGGGAGACACCTGGGCTGGGGCATGGTGAGGATGCCCCTGGGGGAGACACCTGGGCTGGGGCATGGTGAGGATGCCCCTGGGGGAGACACCTGGGCTGGGGCATGGTGAGGATGCCCCTGGGGGAGACACCTGGGCTGGGGCATGCTGAGGATGCCCCTGGGGGAGACACCTGGGCTGGGGCATGGTGAGGATGCCCCAGTCCAGAAGCATAGCCTCTGCCCTGGATGCGCCCGGCTGCTGGAGCCAGGCAGCTGCCTCGTGGCCCTGGAGAAACTCGCCTTGGTCTTGCAGATGGAGTCATCCAGGACACGGAGACCCCAGACACTCGGCTTGGTGGGGAATGTCCCACCCAAATGTGTGTCCAGGCTTAGTAGCAGAAGCCTGGGACTCAGGTAACAGGGACAATGAGCTTTCTCAAAAACACCACTAAGTTAGCTCCCTTCAAACTCAAATGCAGAAGACTCTCAGGCATCCTCCCTCCCCCTGAAAAGATCGCTTCCAAATGCCTTACAGGGGGATATGATAGGCAAACACGTCGTTCTGTTTAAGCCTACTGCCTGGATTGCAAATTCATCATGACATAAATACTTGGATTCAAAAGAAGAAAACAATTGAATTACAACAGATTTCTCTACATCTTGAAAATCACCAGATTCATGTGAAATGTTTGTTGAAAAGACAGAGTCTCGGCCCCAAACCAGATGTCCCAGGGAAGAAAGGCTTGGAAAACATGTAGCATTAACAAGCACTCTGGCGATTCAATCTGAAAGCAGCTGCTTTCAGAAACTTGGCTTTGAGTTTTCAACTTACTTTGAAGATTTGAAAACAATACAGTTTCAATATTGGCAACGTCAACAGCACCCAGGACTTCTGAGGTGCTCTGACACGTCCAGCGGGATGCAGAGGCTTGCACCTCACATAAAAAGATGCCACTTCACGGAGCACAGTGGCTCATGCCTATAGTCTCAGCACTTGGGGAGGCCGAGGTGGGTAGATTGCTGGAGCCCAGGAGTTCAAGGCCAGCCTGGGCAACACGGTGATATGCCTGTCTCTACAAAAATTAAATAAAAAAAAAAAAGCAGCCAACTTCACATAAGATACCAGAAGGAGGAATTGACAGAAAAGTGCATGCACACATGTACATGCACACACGTGCACACACACACACACACATACACTCCAAAGGAACATGCTTTAATATTCCTAAAACGCCTGGGAACAAAAAGCCCTTCCCACCGTCACTCCTTACCTCCACTCTGCAGCCGCCCCCAGAGGGACCGGATCACTTTGGCACTTCCGAACCTCTTGAAGCGGGCTTTCACGTGCTCATAGTACCACTCCAGTGAGCTGATCTTCACAACTCTGCAGAGACAAGCACGGGCCCATGGCACTGCCTGTGTGCTGCACACAGGCCTGCATAAATCACACACACACGAGTGTGTGCGTGTGTGCGTCCAGCCTTCGTCAGCCAGCCCCACTGAAGGGACATGCCAGATCCGGAAACTATCAAGGTCATTTGACCTCAAGGTTTGGGCTTACCTGGCCAGATGGCAGGGGTCACAGAGCCAGCCCTGCTCCTCTGGGTGGAGGCAGCCACAGCCTTTGCAGGTGAAGAGGCCACATTCCAGGCACTGCCTTTTGCTGTTCACAAGCAGCCGGTAGGGCTGCAGGCAGTGGGCACAGTGGGTCTCGTTCAGATGGGCAGTGTCGGAAAGCAGCTCCCTCTTGGAGCTTTCCTTCTTAATCTTGCCCTTCAACCCCCTTGGAGAGATATCAGAAAAAGAAATATATCAGACATCTTGTTTTTGCAACAGGCTTTAAATGTGTACATGTACACACACACACACACACACACACACACACACACACACACACACAGAGCAACTGTTTCCTATGCAGAAAACAGTGACCCAAAGTTGGGCAAAAGTACACAGGCACCTTTGTGTTGAGGGCCGAGCTCAAACGTGCAATTCTGGTAGACTGGAATGGATTGCAAACACATAATTTCATAGAAATGACATTGCATTTCAGCATTTCTGTGGCTGTTTACAATTGTACTGATTTTGGTTGACAGGTTACTGCACCCTCCCCAGGGCGGTCACAGAGTCCTGAGGGCAAATCCAGATGGCAGTTCCTGATCAAGCAGTTTTGGGTCTCTTCCAGCAGGGGGGCAAGAGTTGAGCTAACGCCCAGGTTTGCTCCCCTAGAGCGCAGATGAAATGGCTCAGCGGGTTTCAGAGCAGGAATCGTCCAGCACCCGGAAGTCCCAGTAAAACCACAGTTCTCTTAGACCATCCGGGTTTAAATAACACACAGCTTCCCGATGAACCTGCCAAGTTGAACTTATTGGAAAACGTACCCTTAGATGATAATGAAAACATTTCTTTTGTTCTAGATTTCAGAGAATGTCTGCCAAATGTAATATTTTCAGTTTCAGATGAGATAAAATTAATCCATTCTTAGTGACAAAAGCAAGAAGGACACTAGGTGCCATTGTCTCGTGAGAACTCTGAAGTGCACCAATTTCGATGGGGACACCCAGAGTGTGACAGAGGTGAAGAGAGGGGAGGAATCCACGAGGTGATAGGAGGCAACCTCTGGCTTAAGTGGAACGGGCTGAACTTCACTGATTCCCCTCTCTCAACTATTCACTAAAATACTCATTGAGATATTGAGATATGCAAAATCAGGCTCTTGTCACAGCTTCAAAAACCAAGAGAAAATGGGACAAGCAGTTGTAGGAATCTGCCATCCATAGAATACAGTCTAGATAAAGCTGCATTGACAAGGTAGAGGCTTTGCCACACGCAGAGGAGCACAAGACCCCTGGAGCCAGATGGGAAGGGCCTCCCTCCCTCCATTTTCACCCTTGCCAGCTCTGCACCAACCAGAAAACCTGGAGGCTACCTCTTCGCCAGACAGGGCTTGTCCAGCCTCCATCCCAGGGAGCACCTCTTCTTCTGTATCCAGGCAGAACGATACCCCCGAGGCCCAGCACAGCCGGAAGAAAGCAAGAACATGTGCATTGCCCTGCATCTCAGGCTGGAGGAGTTTCTCTTAAATAACAGCCCAGAGGAGTCCTAGGCAGCAGCCGGAGCTTGATATATTTCAGGGGCTGACACTGGGGGAAAGGATAATAATACTCCGCTTTAGATTCTTTAAAACATAAGCTCCCTTCTTCATAGCCAGAGACTAGGAAGGGAGGGCAGAAAAGACCCCATTTGGGGAGAACAAATGACGCCTGCCAGCCACTCCAGGACATATCAGCCAGACCTGCAGCTTCAGATCCTGAAGGGTGAACGGGGGTGGAGCAACCCACGCCCTCTGCTTATTGGGTTGACTAGAAGTCACTCCTCACCAGGCAAAAGCCCAGCATCCGGCTCCAAGTTAAAGTTAGCTTCACGAATAAAAGACCCTCCTGAATGAGACTTATCATCAGAAACAGACTTGAAACAAGTCGGCTTGGCGTGCTGAATGGGGCATAAGAAAGTACATACGTCTCAACGAGAGGGATGGAGGTGACGCGGGAGGAAACCAGGCTGAGACGAGAGGCCCACGGAGGTGGAGAAGAGCTGGTGAAGACAGACATGGCGAGGAGTCACAGCCACAGTGGAGGGGACACAGGCACAATCTCTGCCGGGGAATATTAGGCCCAATGATTTTGAACAGTGATCTTCCAGGTGGTCCATGGACCTCTCCTCTGGAGGTTCCTAAGATCCTTTAGAGGGTAGGTCACAAGCCAAAGCTATTTTTGTAATGATGCTGAGACATCTCTGCCCTTTCTCTGCTCTTGGACGCCTGCACCAAAGGTGAAGAAACACTGGTGGGGCTGGGTGTGGTGGCGCACGCCTGTAATCCCAGCACTTTGGGAGGCCAAGGCAGGCGGACTGCCTGAGCTCAGGTGTTCACGAGCATCCTGGGCAACACAGTGAAACCCCTATCTACTAAAATACACAAAGTAGCCGGGCGTGGCGGCATGCGCCTGTAATCCCCGCTACTCGGGTGGCTGAGGCAGGAGAATTGCTTGAACCTAGGAGGTGGAGGTTGCAGTGAGCTGAGATTGCACCACTGCACTCCAGCCTGGGTGACAGAGCAAGAATCTGTCTCAAAAAAAAATAGTGAGTAAACCACGGAGGCTTTAGCACGAGTCAGAGTAGTGGGCCCAACTGTGCTGGCAGTCAGTGTCTCCTTCATTGAAAAAGAAATGAGCCAGCTGTGGTGTGGCTCATGCCTGTAATCTTAGCACTTTGGGAGGCCAAGGCAGGCAGATCACCTGAGGTCAGGAGTTCAAGACCAGCCTGGCCAACATGGTGAAACCCTGTCTCTACTAAAAATACAAAAATTAGCCTGGCATGGTGGTGCATACCTGTAATCTCAGCTACTCAGGAGGCTGAGACAGGAGAGTCGCTTGAACCTGGGAGGCAGAGGTTGCAGCGAACCAAGATTGTGCCACTGCACTCCAGCCTGGGTGACAGAGCAAGACTCCATCTCAAAAAAAAACAAAACCAGAAAAAGAAATGAGAAGAAAAAACAGTTTCACTTAAGTATCACGTTGATGGAACACTAAAAGTTATATCTTTCTGAACCGTGGCCCCAGTCCATGTGTGATGAGCATGGAGGAGCACAGAAAGCTCTTCTGTCACATGTTGAAACATGACAGATATTTCTATCAAAGGGACGGGGCAATTGTTCAGATTGCAACCTGAGTTAGAAACTTTTCTCGTGAAATGCCATTTCCACTTGAGAGAACAACTGAGAGATGAACCATTTCCATTTGGTATTTGGCAGATATTTTCTCAAAAATGAACAAAGTGAGACTCTCACTCAAGGAAAAGAAGTGACAGTATTTATTGCCAGTAATAAAACCCAAGTTTTCAAGCACAAACTAGGATTTTGGAAAACATATATTCCCTGCTGTGAGCTTGACAGTTTCCAACACTGGGAGGTTTCTGATGAGAGGCTGGTGGGAGCAACAGAAGTGATTCTCTCTTGGTATGCACATGAAATGTGTCAGCATATGACAAGTCTGCATAACTCAGTGAGCCAGTGTTTTCCAAGTGATTAATGCATAGTGTTACAAAAAATCATACAGGGGTGGAAAATCCATTTCAAGTGCAAGAGAGACCAATGGATTTTAACAAACAGAAAAAGAAAAGCTTGTTAATATGGTTTCAGACTCCACATCGAAATTAACCTTTAAGAAACTACCAGCTGGCTGGGCACGGTGGCTCATGCCTGTAATTCCAGCACTTTCGGATGCCGAGGCAGGCAGATCACCTAAAGTCAGGAGTTCGAGACTAGCCTGGCCAAATGGTGAAACCATCTCTACTAAAAATACAAAAATTAGCCAGGCATGGTGGAACACACCTGTAGTCCCAGCCACTCAGGAGGCTGAGGCAGGAGAATCGCTTGAACCTGGGAGGCAGAGGTTGCAGTGAGCCGAGTTCACACCACTGCACTCCAGCCTGGCAACACAATGAGACTTTGTCTAAAAAAGAAAGAAAGAAAGAAACTGCCTACTGCCAGGTCTTCAGGTTGGTACAAAATATAATGTTTATTATCTGCAAAGGCTATTCAAATACTCCTTTTTTTCAATGAGGTATCTGTATGAGCCTAGATGTTCTCCAGCTACCACAGCCCACAGAATGTAGGAGCAAGCAGAGAACTCAGCCATCTTCTGTTGTTTCAGACGTTAAAGGGATTTGCAAAAATAGAACAATGCCACTTGGCTTACTCATGGTCTTATTTTGGGAAAATCCAACTTTTTATGAAAATTTTATTTATGTTAACATGAAGAGGGTTTACTGTTATTTTTAAATGAGTGAATAAATAAATATATTTAACCTCCGAGTTTTAATTTCTGATATGGTAAATATTAACAGATATGACCCATATAAATAAAACTCTTTGGGGTTCTCAGTAATTTACGAAATGTAAAGGGGTCCTGAGGCCCAAAGGTTTGAGAAACACTGATTCCGAAGTCAAGTTTGCTCTCCTCAGAATGCGGAGAAAAGGGAGGAAGCGATGGGAGAGAGCTGGGAGGTGGTGGGAAAGGCAGAGAAAGTGAGTTCCCAGGTGACGCAGAGCCCTGGGCGAGATGCATGGAGTGGAAGGGAGGCTCTGTCCTCGTCCTGGGGGCCGGGGACCGACCCACACTCCTGTCTTCTGCATTCCCACCTCTGGGTGACCCTGGGACACCCTGCTGGGAGCTGTGACTGGTGGGGCAGGACACAGCCAAGGGGAGACTCCTGCCCTCAAGGGAGGCCAGGCGGCCTCTGAGGAAAGGGCGTATACTGGGGAAGGAAAAGGCTTCCAGGATGGGAAGAGGAAGGGAAGGCCGCTTCTAAGATGGGGTCTGGGCAGGACAGGTGAGCCTCGCAGGGTGAAGGGGTCAGACCTGTGCCCTGCTCTGCCCCTCTTGGGGTAGAATCCAGAGAGGGGTGTGTGGCAACACGCAGGAGTACTGGTGGGATCCCGGGCTGGCTGGGCTGGCCGACACCATTGTGGGCACAGCAGGAGGACGCTCCTACTGTGGCCTTTCCCGAGGTCCAGCACGCAGGCCTGGGAGGAGCCCGCATGAGGGCCTTGCATTGGGTGCTGGGTGGTGGGGAATCCATATCTCTGCTCTCCTCAGACCACGCTCCCGTAGGACGGCACGGGATGTGGGGCATGCAGGGGACTGCAGAGGCTTGGGGTAGATGGAGAGGCCGTAGCACGTGGCTGGGATCGGGGTCTCAGTGGTGGGGGCCACCTGCATCTCA